CACATCCGCTTTATCAAATAATAGCTCACCATTGAGAGGAGCGGCATCAGCCAGTCTATAACGCCGCTCCTTATATCGCATTCCTCAATATCCTGGACAACAAATTCATGATATGATCTTGATCTGGGTCTTATCAGGTGATATAAGCCACTGTGTGCAGAACACCAGTTTGAATTTTCTGAAGCTTGCTATGTGAGTCTTTTACAATCACTACATGCCGGGCTGTGCTGTTCTCAAGCCATCAGACAGCTGCCGTTTCTGCCCCCACCACTGTTCTCATACTGGATGTAGTGACGTTGTATACGCGGGGCTCTCCTTTTCCAAGCGGTGTCTTTTCACCTTGGCAATAAGGCCCCACCCACTCGTCTTACCTCTCCCTGCAGACCCTTCTGTATATATTATGATTTCATCTGCGCATGATTTTTCATTGATCAGCCCTTGCACCACTTGTTTCACCAGCCACCCATTTCCAAAACACTCGGTCCAAGGTAACTATCGCTCTGTACAAGTCTGTTCTGGTAGGCGGCACTTTAACCCATTCCTAATCATGCGCTAACTTATCAGCAGCACAAACAGTTCTGATCGAGACTTCTGCCCTTGCCATACAAGAGCCACCTCTTTTCAGCCGTTGTTCCTTGCCATCCCCTAAGGCCTCATGTAAAAGGTGTCCCATGTCCGTTGTGACTTAATGGTACATTTTCACCTGTTAAACCTTTTTCTCCTATGCGGATTTTAATGCAAGTATGTGCCGCATGCACACAATTCTCGTATCTCGTTAATAGAGTGTATAGAGCATTTTCTGTTCCATGTCCACTAGTGCCATCACTTTAAAAGTATTGAACCCTTTCCCTACCTTTCAAACCACCTTTTCCACATGGTGTTTGAAAGATTGACTCCTGTGAAAAAAATTATTCCTAGATATTTTAGTGAACTGTCTCTCTTAATATCGGGTAAAGTGGTCAGCATCACTCCGACCGCCTTTACTTCCCGGAACTACACACAGTACCCACTCAAGGCTGGGTAGACCTGGGAGTCAAGGACATGTTTGAAAAAAGTCAAGCTCCACCAGGGAACGAACCCACAACCTTCCGATACGCACGCGAGCGTCTAACCGCTACGCCACGGCGACTCCCGATATCCTACTTGTGCATACACTTGAAAGCTCTGGGGAAAATGGCGGAACCCGGTGGGGGGGGGGGGGGCAGGAGCAATGATACCACATGGCTCAGAGCTCCACGAGACTAGGTGAAAGGTAGGTAGTCTGCAGCTCTTACAGGGCTTGTTCAATCCAGTTGACAATCCAGGGACTGATTTCCATATCCATAGGCGTGTATAGTAAAACGTCATATCTAACCCTGTTATATGCGTCTTCTAAATCCAGTGCCAACGCAACCGTTTCATGCACACACACACACACACAATAGACGCGACCAATATACACAGACACAATATACACACACAATATATATACACATAGAATCAACACAGTCACATTACAGGTAGGTAGTAATTAAAAGTAAAGGACCCTTTTCCACGTCTTCTTGCGTATTGGGCATATAGGGCTATACTTATATTTTATAGAAAAATCGCCACTTGATGGCTGATATGGTCAGCATCACACCGTCGGCCTTTACTTCACATGACTGTCCGTGGTACCCCACCTAAGCCTGAGTCAACCTGAGAGCCAAGGTCATTTTTTATAGAGAAAAAAATCCATCTCCGTCAGGACCCGAACCCACGACCTTCTGATCCACTGGCGAGCGTCTTGTCGATATACAACTGTAGCCCAACAGACAGACCTTAGATAATTAGTTTTATAACTAAGTGGGCAGACAGGTAGGGTCGCCAGATAGTCAGATACAAGTGCATGTATTTAAGGATGTATATCCGTGTACATTAGGTAAGTAAAAGAAAAGAACATTTTGCCGTGCCTTTAGGCGTATGGGGCATATAGGGCTAAACCTATATTATATAAACCAATCGGCACTAGGTGGGTGATGTGGTCAGCATCACGCCTGGTATATTAGAACACATCTTTAGTAGAGACAGTAGAAACATTGACAATTTAGAGTAATTTTATTCTTACGTGTATGCTATATTTTTCCATACAAATGTTCGGCCATGTTTACTATACGTATTAACTATAGAAACCTGTCTCTCGCATCCACAGGTGCTTACAGATCTTGCTCAGCTAAGTTCGGTGTCCCTCTCCAAAGTAACAGCTGCTTTACAAGACGAAGTGACTCGTGTAGAAGGCATCAGAACGCAGATGGCAACCACCATGTTGGCCAGGACCAGCGGAGACAAGTCTGACCCTGTTATTGTATTGACCAACGTGACCCAAAAGACGCTCAAGCTGGTGGAGGCAGTCGCTTCCAACACTGGGTGGCTTCCTCAAATACATCACAACGTACAGCTTCTAGAATCCATGACGAATCGTTCGCTTTACGGAGTTTTGCAAAATCACGCACTGCTACGACGAATTCAAGAAATTAGTCCAAACCAAGAAGATCCGGTTGCAAGTTTTGGCCGAGACAACAATAAAACAACTGGACACGGTACTTCTCGGACACATTCCAACAGACATAGGTCATCAAATAGTGACCTCAACGAGTCAACGAAAGATGAGGCAGCACTGAACAGAGAATCATTGGAAACAATCTATAGCACAAGTTTACAGCTAAACAGGATCATGCCAGCGCTGACAAAACTCCTGTCAGAGCCAGGTAAGTGAATAACACCAAAGATAGTTAGTAGCAAAATAAAGTCAGTAAGGGACCCTTTTCCGTGCCTTTCAGATGGATTGGGTATGTAGGGCTAGACCTATATTTTATAGACCAAATGGCACTTGTTTGTTGATGTGGTCAGCATCACACCTACCGCCTTTACTTCCCAGGACTGCACCTGGTACCCACTCAAGGCAGGGTCGACCTGGGAACCGAGATCATTTTTGAAAAAAGTTCAGCCCCTATAGTTAGTTGCAGTAGTAAATTATATAACGTCGTTCAGTCTAGTTTATTATTGCAGTAGTAAATTATATAACGTCGGTCAGTCTAGTTTATTATTGCAGTAGTAAATTATATAACGTCGGTCAGTCTAGTTTATTATTGCAGTAGTAAATTATATAACATCGGTCAGTCTAGTTTATTATTGCAGTAGTAAATTATATAACATCGGTCAGTCTAGTTTATTATTGCAGTAGTAAATTATTTAACGTCGGTCAGTCTAGTTTATTATTGCAGTAGTAAATTATATAACGTCGGTCAGTCTAGTTTATTATTGCAGTAGTAAATTATATAACGTCTGTCAGTCTAGTTTTTTTGTAGTAGTAAATTATATAACTTCGGTCAGTCTAGTTTATTATTGCAGTAGTAAATTATATAACGTCGGTCAGTCTAGTTTTTATTGCAGTAGTAAATTATATAAGGTCGGTCAGTCTAGTTTATTATTGCAGTATAATTTTTTTTTTTAATTAGCTGAAGATGGGGACGGAGGACTTATGCGAGTGTCGGGAGTGCTGTGATGTCGATTCCTAATTCAACATTCAACATTTATTATTATTATTATTATTAGTATTATTATTATTTAACTAGATGTTCTCCTATAGGGTTGCAGTCTTTTGGCTAAATTTGGAAAGATAAAAATCAAACGGGTAAAAATCCTGGTGGAAACCCCTTTAAACATATAGCCATAAAGCACAATTATATTAAGTAAAGTTAGGATCCCTTTTCACGCCTCTATGCGTATCGGGCATATGGGAAGAGCACCCATATTTTTACAGACCATCTGCACTAGGTTGGTAATGTGGTCAGCATTACGCCGGACGTCTTTACTTCCCTATGACAGCCATTCCGGTACCCATTTTAGGCTGGATCGACCAGCGACGCCCCATACCATGATAAAAATCCACGCAGCCAGCAGTGGGTTTTGATCGCGGCATGTTGGAATTACAAGTCGGACTCGCAACGCCTAAACAATTATATTGGGGCACCACAAACAGGTTACGAAATAACCTGTAGTCCGGTATAGGTGGATCTGTTGATATTTTGTTTTCTGTCTGAATACTGGATATTTATGCTTGTCATTTATCTTTAGTTTTTTAATCATACATTTGTTATGTATTAGTTGTAACAATTTGTAGGAGTTTAGAATGTGTGACGTGACGCGTGGTTTAAATGTTTATGATGTTGAGTAGGGATCTTCCTTTCAACACATTCTCTCCACTAGATAAACCGAACTAAAATCTGAGCTATGTCGCTCTCAGACAAAGTCCTGGATATCCAAGAAAACAGCCATATTGGCTCGTTAAGTATATTAACATTAGCTGAACTTGGTACCCACAAGAGAAGGCAAGGAATTTTAGATGTCTATCATACTTAATGTTAATGAATTATTAGACAGGGCAAGTGATTCCTCCGTCATCTACCTTCTCCCGGTGTTATTATTAATAATTAAAGAATTATTATATTATTTGAGCCCCCACCAAATGTTATTCTATCCTAACAGTTTAAATAAACATGTAAGAACAGACATTTGGAATTTAACAAACTATGTAGTTTAAAACTTGACATACAGCTTTATTTACTACAATGAAATTCCCAGTTTGTTGATTTACACAAACAGTGACTGGTTAATTTGATGATAGTGGTAAGCTTCAGCGAGAAAAACAGCTCGGGGTTTAGAGTGGTATGATAATGATGATGATAGGTTAACATAAAGGGGTTAACTCAACTTATAAGCCTCTGACAGCCGTGAGGAACTGTCAAGCTTGTCCAACTCTTCCTTGCCTGTTGTCTGCCTGTTTCAGCTTATTCTCCACTTCATCCCCACCTCGTTCTCCACATCGTTCTCCACCTCGTTCTCCACCTCGTTCCCAGCTGGCCGAGTCTAACACAATGTAGGCTACTTCATGGACTGATCGTCACATGGGCGCTGGGAACTTCCCATTAATCGCCAAAACAGAATGCGATCGTAAAATTACCTTCACGTCGATCTGTGTTGTTTGCCGGCAGGCTGCGATTAATGACGGAAATTCCACAGGCTCGAAGTATAAGTATCAATCTATTGTCCAAATTAAACTCCTCCCTTTCCTGGGTTCTTCCCAACCCTCAAGACGATGACTTAAGCCACGCCTCCGGAGTACCCAACAGATCAACTTGGCTAACAAGTGGCCTGTCAGTCAATTCTGGACTGACATCCCTAGAGCAAACATTCTTAAGTGCCCAAATCTAGTTTACACCGAATCTAACTGGCCGGTGTGAAAGACGGTCAGTGAAGCCATTGTGTTTCCTACGTGACCAAGATCAAGATAAAGCATTCCTAATTGCCAAACACCTGTTCTCTCCAGAATTACACTGACGTGTTAAACTCCGACCTCCCGGCTCCACCATGTCTAGCGTCTACTCAATTCCCCTGTTCAAAAGGGCCCCGCTCAGTCTCTACAGTCTGGTCAGGAGATAACATTCTGACACTGGCGTGAGAATCCAACCTCACATCCCTAGTCTGAACCAGCGGGCTGTATTACGTAGTGTTAGGTAATTTTAAACAAAGCGCAGTGGCTTTGTCTGGGAGAAGGACTGGTAACATTTAAATCAATTTGGTTTAAAGTAATATTAGGGTAAAGGGCAGAGTAAATATAATCCTCTCTCTTTAGAACCAGAAGAACTTATTACAAGTACTAACTTCTGGAATCACTGAGATCGTCTCGTGACAGAATGTTACATTTAATATCTAGTAGTATACTTTTTTCTTATATTAGTGTAATCAATATGTTGTGTAATACGTCAGTTAGTTAACAGTATGGGTTTATTGTTATGTTTAAAGTCGCATCTAAAACCCAATCATTCCTCTGTGGGATGCAGTTTTTCGTTGTTGTTTTTTTTTTAAGCCCCACCCTGGCTTTTGCCGGGGGGTCTTAAATATAGCTAGGCCACAATTGAGGCCATAACGGCTGAAATGGGTTTCTGGGACCTCTCCACGGGTGATCCTCATCCGCTTGGTGGCACTCTGTGTCGCCCAGTGTTTATCGCGTGTGTGATGTCCTGGTGGGGTACAACAAGCAAGAAGCAGCAAAGTCGCATCTCTTTCAGCCAAATTGTCTGTAGCAGACATGTTTTTTTGTCACCTCCCAGTCCTCTTTGCCTCGAGATATTTCATTGAAGTTGGTATCATTTATTTTCATTTGCCCGGTTATATCTTCCCTAACTTATCTGGTTTTCAAAACAGTTTGTAAGATTGCAAATTATTTCGTCCTGGTGCATCTTTTGACGATATATCCACCATATACATCATTAAATGGTATTTACGATTATGATATGTGACTCTGTGACTTTTACATGCAGCTCTCAGTACCTTGGCATTTTTCCCCCTGTGTGCATTCTCCGAAAACCGTGTGTTTGTGCTTTTTGCATATGTGTATTGTCTGTGTTCGTGCGTTGTTCGCGCGAGCGTGTGTGTCTGTGTGTATTACAATGCCTAATTCTCATACTGGATGTAGTGACGTTGTTGTATATGCGAGACTCTCCATTTCCAAGCAATGTCCTTTTACCTTGGCAATAAGGCCCCACCCACTCTACTTACCTCTCACTGCAGACCCACATGTATATATTATGATTTCATCTGCGCGTGATTTTTGAATTACACAACACAACAAACAGAACAGCGTAGATAATACAATATGGAACATCTGACAAACATCTGAAATATACTCCAGAACAATACACCTAACAGCAGGCCTTGTTAACAATTATTTTCACTTGAAACGATAAAGCCTTTTAGGCGACGTCAACATCTGTAGAAAACACACAGAACATATGTTGCCTATTATCAGTTATATCATTCACTGCTGAATATAATAACAGAAAATATAAATGTTGGCACTCAAACTGCATGCAAAGCGAAACATCACAGGATGTCATAACAACAGTATATAGTGCGAAAGTAGAGGCTCGGGAATACCCAAAAAAAAAAGAAATTTTCCACGATCTGACATCATTGCATTAGGAGAAATTTGTATTAAACATGGCTGCATCTAAACTCGATGGCCCACAACAAAATTTATTAGTTGAAGTCTCTGATCTTTTACAATTTAAGCGGGACCTGGGTCTCAAAGGGCTAATGACTCCTTCAGGTAGACAATAATAATTATTATCTATTGACTGGCAAAATAAATATAATACTGTACTTGAAACATTATGTATAAACAAATACTGAAAATGAGAACGTCTTTACATGGATAGAGGGAACCATTTCCCCCTTGCAAATATTGTATTGGGGGAGGGAGAGGGGAGCTGAAGGTCCAAAGATTCCGGTGCCCCTGTATGTTATAACCAGAACGCTGCCCTGGTGTTTGTTAATGTAACATAAAGCTGCCCTGGTGTTTGTTAATGTTATCATAAAGCTGCCCTGGTGCTTGTTAGTGTAACCAAAGCACATCCTGGTGATTTTTTAGTGTAATCAGAACGTCTCCCTGTTTCGTAATGTAACATTGACGCCGCCCAGTGCTTGTTTTCATAATCAAGATTTGTCATGTCTATAAGAATAATTGTCTCTCAAAACATGATACGGAATATTTACTTTTTAAATTTGCTTTAACATTAATTTATTTGCAGCCTAACAAAACATAATAATCTTGTTGATATAGTTAAATACTATAACCCCATATTGCGTAGCTTAGCGTACGCTTACATACTCATATTTGGTACTAAAGACTATAACCCCATATTGCGTAGCTTAGCGTACGCTTACATACTCATATTTGGTACTAAAGACTATAACCCCATATTGCGTAGCTTAGCGTACGCTTATATAGACTCATATCTGGTACTAAAGACTATAACCCCATATTGCGTAGCTTAACGTACACGTACGTATTAACGACTCGTATTTGCTACCATCGTGATGCATCTTGTAAAGCGTCCTGTTACTGTTTACTATACGACTACACCACTAGTCTGTACGTTCAATTATTAAGACAGTAGAATTATGTTAAATATACTCTTTCGTGTGATTATTCTTAACAAGAATTCTTTGTAATCTCATATTCAAAGAAAGATCATTACAATCTCAAGAAGATTGGATGTGTTTACCAATCCTGTAACGACCGTATACGCCGTCTCCCTAGGTTGATGGATACTTGACGGTGCACTTGATGACAGTGCACTTGACCCTAATGCTAAAATAGTTATTCAAATGTTAACTGAGTTTGCACATGCTCATTAGTTTCATTATTATTTCAGTTATTACTTATACTGCCGTAAAGAAAATAATCTTTAAGCTTTGTGATTCCGGTAAATCGTGTGCAGTTTCCGCAATTTCCGCGTTCAAGAGCAAGGGGAAATATTCCGCATTTTATACAGTATAGTCGGCTCTGTAGCTAAGTCGATGCGAACGCTTCGTAATGCTGGGGTGCCGGGTTCGATCCCAGCTGCGGGCTATGCGCCTTGCGTTGGTTTCGACAGTGGTATCAGGGAGCCGACCGTCCAGTATGCAATGGCAAGCTACTGGACGGTAATTTGCCTAGAGAAACCACAAAACAGCCAGGGGCTGCTGGGGTTGGTTCTGCAACGTCCTGTAAAGGATACGCAATTTACCTTATACAGTATCCTCTAACACATAAAGTAAAGTTATGTAAAAATCATAGTATTAGGTAATGCACAAATAATATTCAAGCTTCAACCAGTCATATATGCATGAGCGAATATATAGATAGAAAAGTATATGTGTATGTATGGTGCGCGATGGATCGTGAATGCGTGAGTGTGTGTGAGAGGTTATACATGAACTATTCTTTCATTACGTATGTATATAGAGATTTCGTTAGATTATTATCGGAAACACGTACACATAGACAGAAAGCATGGGAGTGTTAAGAAGAGAAAAGACCATGACATTCGAGAAAAAGTGTTTCTACTGATGCTCTAAATCTGTCTTATGCTAGCTAGAGTGCGTACTACTAATACTTCTGTTGAAAGGAGCCGTGTTAGCGTGGCCGACAGGAGGCTCGCTTTCAAATCCAGCTGCGACTCACTGCAGCCACGGTTTGTGTTCGAAACCGGGCGATTCACGGGGTTCACCCAGCCTCTAGAAAATGGGTACCAGAGTTGACACTCTGGGGTAAATGTAGGAACGTCGCTGTAGCTACAGAGTTACGTGCGAATGGCGACACATGCGGACAGTTTCTTATCAGCTGTCCGTTCTGGTGGCAGAGCACTTATGGTTTATAATCGTGTGCAATGACGCTGGTTCACATATCCAGACTTTACCTTTACCTTCTGCTGCTGCTGCTACTACTATTAATACAATTACTTCTACTACAATGGATGTACTTGTGTGTGTAGGAGGAGGGCGAGAGGAAGAGAGATACGAGGGTTAACACAAAAAGACCAGGAGACAGACTGACAACCCAACAGACATATAATAGGAACAAATGGACTGTTTACTTCAAGTAGTCCTCAGTACACCACAGCATACGAGATTAGCAGTATTCATAATAAATAACAGCAACAATACAGTCACCATGTATCAACTTGTCTTTGTCAGCTTTGGCGAGAAAAAGCGTTCTCAAGCGATACAGAGAGCCAATCCTGGTGTACGCATGCGAATCATGGACAATCAGCTCAATATTGACCAATTATGTGGAAACTGCAGAGACTGGTTTTATGGATGAATGATGAGAATCCAGTGACAGATCAAATTAAGATGTCGCGTAAGAAATCTTCTTAGCGCTCACCAGATGTAAATTCCGGCGAAAAGTTATAATTGTTCGTGCTCTTCTGCACTTTAGTCTCGTCGCAGAACTTCTGTTATGCTTTTGCGTGTGCATCTGTTTTACAGATCTGGCTTATTTGTATGCAGACTGTTGACTTCTTGCCTCTCATGCAGATCCACTCGGACTTCGATGAAAACACCCTTAATTATTCGCAATTTACAAAATGCTTGTTTTGGTTAAGCGAGTTTATTCTCTTCCCCATCCCTCTCCCATACTTTCAAATGGGGCCCGAGATGCCGCAAACGAAATCGTTAATTTTTTTCTTGTCACTCCTGCAGCCTTTCACGAACGTCTCATTTCCATTTTCTGGGTTTTTGTTTTTTGTGCGACCATGACCATATCTGACACTGAAAGCATAAGATGACGATTAATGTTTCTTTATGTTGGTTAAGACTATCTGTTATTGTAAGAGATTATCCGTGTATAGTCACTGATTTTATTTTTTACCCATCTAACAGACCCTCTGATAACACTGGTAGGAGGTGGCAGGCCCGACCAGGGAAGGGTCGAGATCTACCACAACGGCCTGTGGGGTGCCTTGTGCCAGCGTGACCTCTCACACGCCGAAGCAGACCTTATATGTCGTCATCTCGGATTCAGAGGTGGGATTTCGGCCGGGTCTGGTCACTTTGGTTCTGGGACGGGAGCTTCGTGGATCTTCAATGCATCTTGCCTAGCCTCGCCACAGTGTCCCGTTGTGTCGTATTCTGACGACACAGCACAGTGCAGTCACGAGTTGGATGCGGGAGTTATATGTGGTAAGTTTATAATAATGAAATCATGATGTAATATTTTTCCTAACCACCAGAACTCTTGAGTTGACCCAGCGTCATAAAAACGGATATTGGAAAACTGGGTTAGTTTCACGACAATCTCCCCACAGACCGCCCATATACACACTATCTCACTTCTGATTGGTTGATCTTCAGTCAACCTACCTTCGCACACTCCTATGGGGGTGTTCGGCAATGCTGTTGATATCGCGTGTTGTATTTTTAAGCACACCAGTGCTTTTAACACTACAAAAACATTTAGAAACTGGGTCTAACACAACTCCACTAAAGAGTGCTGCAAACTATGTCACAGGCATTCTCTTTCTCGGAAGAAAAACGTCAATGCAAGACAAGCCAGAAAGGAAACAACATAGTGGCAACCCGTAACCCCCAGGACAGCAGACCAGTCTTAAAAAAATTATTAATGGAACGTGACGTTTGTTTGGGGAGATTTTCGTGGAACTGACCGAACCCCCCCCCCCCCCCCCCCCCCCCCCGTTCATATTCATAAATCATATGTATGGCATACAGAAAAGTTAGCATTTAGCATACTTTCTATGACATGCAAATGTTATGTAGTGTAGCTTATATTATAACATTTCCAATGTTTTGTAGGCTTTTATTAGGTTGTTTTGTTTGTTGGTTTGTCCTATACACTTTATTTTTAAGTATACTTTTCACCAAAATTCTCCCATGTTTATTAAGTGTGGTTGGTTTCTACTGACAGATCACATGCTAAGAATAGTTTCAACTGATGGATCAACTAAAGGGAAAGTAGGCAGACTTGAGATTCATCACAGGGTAAGTCATTTCTATATTCTCAGCAATCTAGCCTTTCACATCTCACTTAAGTATACTGTTTTAATTCTAAGCAAACTGTTTTAATTCCGTCGTTTGTAGGTTGCCAATTTGTAGTGGGGGAAAAACAAAAAAACTTTGCATAACCTTCACCTTTCCTATTATCATGTGTTAGCATCATGATGATAAACATAGGTATACATGTTTCACTATCTCACACAGTCACTAGAATTTAAGATCAGGTCAGTGTTCTTGCCACACCCCATCCGTGTTGCCAAAATCATCTGTGTACTTTTTTTGTTTGCTTCTCCTTTGCTGATTTTTTCCCCCAGCAATCTTCTCTGTTGTCACTAAGTTCTAAATTTTTTTTTCTTTCTCATAATGTGTCCAAAAATATTGACTGTTTAGTCTCATTTCTCTAAGGTGGGGGGGGGGGGGGGGGGGGTGCTGCTGCGTGGTCTCGAGGCTCCAGGTTCAATCCTTTGTAAGGGCTGGGATTTTTACATGTGGACTTGGACTTCTAGTATTTCCCCTGGTCTCTAGGTTGAAAATTGAAAAAAGTAACCTAACAGCGCTGCCTGGGCAAAATTTAGAGTTTGAACTACCTAAAGTATTTCAGGATCCTTGCCAGTGCCTCAAAGCCCGTGCTGAGCTTCTTCAGACTCAGACTCGAGTTATAAGAAAATGGAGCACTTATGGGTTACTACTCATGTGCGATGATGTTGATCTGTTGTTCAAACTTCTCTATTCAGTTTACGGTTGTCATTCATCACTAGAATGGACCACTTTTCTATTATTCTGTGACATTCACTATAACTTATATGTTTAGTACGGTTTAATTCTGCAAATATTATATTTCCAATTTAAATAACAACATCGGTAATGTATGTTAACTGAAAACAACTTGACAGAATTGGAATCAAGAGCAACAATGCTTCATCTACACATAGCGTCATGGAGTTTAAAACTGTTCCAAGTTGACATTATGTCCCTTGTCAAGAGCTGAACATATCTGAAAGATCAAGTTACATGGTGTTCTCATGATCATGCAACAGCAGTTGAAAATAAAATGTGGAAGGGGGGGGGGGCTGCAGATTTCTTAAACAACTTAAATAATAATCAAGGTCAATAATGAAAAGTCAGACAACAGCTTTTCTTTATTTTTTCGTAACACATTCTCCCTCTTCTTTTGTTGAATTGTTGTGTGTATTTGTCTGCTGATGAAGGCTAATTACTGTGACATCCTGTTTATTATGAGTAGCTTTGCAAAACTAGCATACACTTTGTTTTTCTTACCATTTTCTATCTTTTCTCTTCCCTTTCTTTTGCAATCTTTTTTTTCTAAAGACTTCTAACAAGCCGGCTGGCAGGTATAACAATGTTTAAAACTGAATTCCCAGGGTGTGTGGCTGCCTATATGTGGAGATGGTTGGAGTGGATATTCAGCCAGAGTAGCTTGCCAGCAAATGGGTTACTCTGACGGCAGAGAAATGCAGGTTGGTGACTTGTATGGGGAAGTTAATACAACATGGTTAAACAATGTCTCCTGCACTGGGCGTGAGACAAGGCTGGATGCATGTTACTCTGATGGCTGGAGGGACACGTGTTCAGGCAAGACCCCTGCTGGTGTCAGATGTGTCTGACATTAGTTTGTGTCTAGATGTCTGAGGAAGGATCAAGTACGGAACTAATGCTGCTAATGTCAACATCAGCTCTTTCAGTCTCGACAATGCTATGTGTGAGTGACACCATCCTTTGATTTCCCTCCATAGCATAATATGATCTCTTTAAGTACAACATTTAGTTGAAACAAACTAATGAAATCTGGCTTCTTCAATTAATTACCACTGTGCGTATGGCCACTGAAAAGCAATGCATCTGTTTTTTTCCATCATGGTCATTTCTTTACTTTGGCCTCTCCTGTGAAACCACCTGGTACTGAAAAAGCTGCTATATTTATTTGTTCAATGTGAAATGCTGTGAAAGCACCATTAGATGTAGGTCCGAACAAGAATGTTTGAAGAATGACAATAAACTTGTATTATATGACAGAAGTGTGCAATGGGTGCAGACAAATGAGAAAGAAAGATATAAATTTATATACATAATATGTGAGACATGGTGAATAAGCCATCATATAGTGTTTTATTGTGAAACATACAGTTCGCCATACATACATAGAACCAAATCAGAATGTCTGTACAAATGAAACCTGCATATTTTCTTACAAGCAATACTATTTTGGGCTAGGACTTGCTAAAAATAAATCAACATTATTACAGAGTGTTTCAGGGCCTGCCGTTCAACTAACATTAAGTTAACCTTTTAACAAGTTTAGGCACATGGGTATCTAGTAATCAGGTCACTGCAGTTCCAACTCGATAGGTCACCCCACACTTGTTTCATTCATGTGCCAACCAAAACTACACAGAGCTGTATCTTGTGGAAAAACTGACGCAGACTGCATTGTCAGCAAATCCAACAGCACATGCATGCATGTGCTGCATAAGGCAGCTGTTAGAAGAGCCAGCACAAATAGTCGGACACTAAAAATGCAGTTCATCGTCGACGGGTATATAATAACTCATAAATTACATATGAAAAAGGGTCTTTGAGACTCAGATTATATGTTACAACACACCTACTGTCTGGTTGATCACATAAAATATCATGATTGTAAATGTGAAATAAATTATGATACAGCAAAATTTCTACGTGTTCAGTATTTTTTATTGTAAATAAGATAAATGTTGATGAAAATAAGCCCATGCTCCGTTTACTGCTCAGGCTCATGTGAGGTCACTACTTCTTAGTACACATAAACATATCTTTCAATGTGAAAATTACAAACTTGAAATTGAAAATATGTATTTAGTGAGTAGAAAGCTACTATGGATTTGACTGACACCCATAAACATCCTCTTTTTTTTTTAAAGTGGATTTAAGATGGCACAAGAGCACAATCAACTTTCATAGGTACACTAGCACTCTTGGCAAAGTTACAGGTGTCATATAACTGACTGCAGAAAGTGAAGCCATCGGAAACAAGGCATTCTTAGAGGACTATTCAAAATATTTTGTATTTTACTATAAATGTACTGAGCCAGTAACCTTTGTTGCATGAACAAACAATAAAGTAAGTATAATTTGCTGCAAATTTTTTTTTTATTTCTAGAAATTCAATGTCTTATTCAGACAATAAAAGTGTCTATAACAAAGATGTGTTCACATACAGAGATTTTTAGCATTTCAGTCAAATTTATTTTCATTTTCTCCCAAATCATAAACAGCACTGGATACTTACAAAGTATACAAAGTCTAGTGTGACATAATATGCAAAACAGGTGTACACATATTTTCCCTTGGCTTCTATATTTTTAATGATACAATAAACAAAAAAGACACCTAGTTGAAGTTGACTGCTTTTTATCTTTTATTTTCTAGAATTTTTTTTATTGTTTTTGTGTTCTGAGGTGTAATGGTGGAAACACATCCCAAACAAACAAGAATCCAACTAGTTTTATTCAACTGTGCATAATCACATCATTTTAAACTGAGCATAATTTTACAATAAGTGTCAACAGAAAAACCAGAATAAACTAACTACCAAAAAAACAATCAAAGTACCCACTGATTGGACACAACTGGAGACAAGGAAGAGCGGCTCAAGCCAAATGTCTTATTTCACATAAGAGGATACCCTTCTAGAAACAGCCACATCTAAAGCAAATGTCTAGAATCGACTACTGCTTCTTTCCTCGGCGAGCTTTAAACTTCATGCCACTTGCTGCTCCTTTCTTGGCCCCTTTGACCAGGTTCTTGAATGACCCTTTGACTTTCATCTGCTTGCTGCGTGAAATAAAAGAAAAACATATTTCAGGTGCCTAGCTTTATACAAATGTTGTGGTACATATCATATGTATTCAGAAAATTATCAATTGTTTTCATGTAATTCACATAACAATGCCATTAGCAACACTCTTCCATGAAACATATAAAAGGTAAATGTTATCCTAGGGTATATGCAGTGTTAATTTTTATGTTTATACATTCTAGGTTATACAATGAGGTGATATGACCAGTTACATTTACTTTTATTTATTACAGAAATTTCTTCTTCTTCTTTTCGTGCTCCCTGTCAGCGGTTTTCAGTTAGATTTAAAAAAGTCCACTGTTTTGACTAGAAAACACAACAACCGCTATGCAGTGGCAGCCCACACAATAATGGCATAATTTTAAAATATGAACAGAAGAAAAAGCATTCGGTGATGGCAAACATCATACAGCAGGCCCTTTGCAAAACATCGCTCTCATCACGGTCTACCTCTTGTCAGCTCTCCTGCCTTGTGCACTTTCATACTTTAGGAGTCACTTATATCCTGTACCCATCTGTGTACTGGTTGGCCCCTGCCTCTCCCTCCAGTACCATGCCTCCTGCTATTATTTTTTTCAATCTGCCATGGCACTTAATATGACCAAAATATTTCAGCTTCCAAGACAAGATGTTTATTGACCCATCTTCATTGATCATCAAAGATCTTTTCAAATGTTTATATTTTTTTTAGTGTGAGAATCTTTCTATAGCATTTCAGCCCAAAAGCCCCTATTTTCTTTCTTAAGGACTGAGAGTCTGCGAGTCACATACCTATGTTGCTACAGGGAAGATGCATGCTCTCAAAATGTTAACTTTGATTTCCTTGCTGGCACTCAATCATAGATTTTTAATGCTGTTTAATCTTTACATTGCTTTTGCCATCTTTCTGTTGACGTCTGTCGAGCTGTCTCCATTGTTATTTATTATGGAGCCTTGATCTTCAAAATTTGAATCATTTTCAATTTCTTTACCACTAATCATTATTTTTGGTTACAGCCAGTTTTGTCTGTGGACATTATTTTTGTTTTCTTTATTTACAAGAATATGTTTTGATCTTCACTGTGCTTTATGGACAGACATGAAATTTTCTATTCCCTTTACACTGTTCGAAAGGAGGACTGTCATCTCGCACAGCAAAGTTCTGGAATAGAGTGAGCCATTACTTATCAGTGGATCATAACTGTCACAAGTCTGGTCATTTCATTTTAACATTTCTTATTATGTTTTCTGCATATATACTGAATAGGTATGGTGAGAGAATGCACCCCTGCCTCACTCCATTTTGCACCTTGAACCAATCCGATGTTTCACAAGCTGCTCAAAGGGCTGCTTGTTCATGATAAAAACGTTTAATTAAACGCACCAAATGCTCTGGAAACCCCATACTTCTCATGGTGCTCTACAATTTCTGATGTTGGACACAATCAAATGCCTTGCTATAATCTTAAACAAACATGGAAATCTACCTTGCATTCTCTACATTTTTCAAAGACTGTTCGCATATTAAAGATGTTATCCCTAGTTCCTCTACCCTGTCCGAAACCTGCTTGTGCTTCATCTAGCTCATATTGTAGTTTCCTTTCAATCCTCTTTATAATAATTCATAAGAAGATTTTGCTAGCATGACTTATTAAAGTGATCGTAAGATAGTTGGAGCAAAACTTAAAAGATTTCCTTTCTTTGGGAGAGGGATATAGATTTTCCAGGCTTTAGGCCAAATGGTGCTGCTCCAGATCTCCGTGCACTGTGCAATGGCAAAAAAGACCCACTTTTTTATGGTGGGTCAATGGCAAACAAGTCCCACTTTATCAAACCATTAAAAAAAAATTGTATATGTCATGACAAACAAGAAAACTAAACTAAACTATTTAAACATTATGTGATGGCAGAAAAGACACTAAATCAAACCACTGAAAAACAAATGACAAACTATAACCCACTATATCACATGATCAACTAGACATGTAATGACTACAACAAACTATATCAAACCATAAAAAAAACAATATGTAATAACAAACTAAGACCCACTATATCAAACCATATAAAAGACATGTGATGACAAATAAGACTCACTATATCAAACCATATAAAAGACATGTGATGACAAATAAGACTCACTATATCAAACCATATAAAAGACATGTGATGACAAATAAGACTCATTACATCCACATACACACAAATGATATGATTACAAACTAAGTCCCATTATAGCAAACCATGATTTAAAACAAAACAAAAAAAGCACAATGTGACAGCAAACTAAGCTATACCATATGAAACAATTAGAAAGAAACAACCAACCGTTTGTTCAGACTTTTAAAGTCCAAGGGCACATAGGCAAAAGGATCGGGTTGGCCTTTCTTTTTCATATCACCTGAAGCTCTCTGTAAAACAAGAAATGATATTTTAAGTTGACATAAATGATCAATTCTTTACCCTAAATATATGTTTTTTGCAACTCTTAGCCTGGAGTAGAAGATTCAAACTTAATGTCACCAAAATGATATGGGTGGTTGGATACATAAATGACATAGGTTGCGTGGCAGAAAGCTGTGAAAATGTACAGAATTGTAAATAAACAAAATTATAATAAAATGTGTTGGAGAAAGACAAAACGAGAATAAATCAGGCTAACAAATAACCAAATTTCTTGTGAAACTTCACTTCAAGATGGGCAGTCATGCACTATATGGACAGTACAAAAGATATGCGAAGCTTAAACCACTATCTGTGCGCACTGCTCTCTGTTCCTTCATACATTGCTTTTGTCATGTTTATTATTTTCATAGATTCCCCACAGTGGTGCCAGCAAACAGAGAGCTCCAAGGATAGGTAGTAATTACATATTCTTTTATTAATCCCAGGAATTATTACTTCAATTCCACTTAATGTGTTGCTAGTTTAGTTATTTAAATACGCATAGCTTTGAGTCTATAAAAGTTCAGATAAGTTTATGACATAGTAGGCATCAAAATAGTTAGAATATAATGGGTTAATGCAATGACAATGAGATGAGAAATGTGTGTAACAGAGGCAAATGTGTGTAACAGAGGCAACCAATGAATCTCTGGTAAGCAGCTTGGTACAGAAAATGCTTTTAAAAAAAAAAACAATATTCACATTTGCCTTGATGAAAACTATGAATGACAGCTAAATAATTATTTACTTATTTTGTTTTTTTCTGAAGCTCAAATATTACCTTTGCTCTGTAATCCTGCCCAAAAGCAGCAGACTTTTCCTTCGGTTGTCTGCTCTCCTGAGCCGTAGGCCTGTGAATGCCACTGCCACCAGCTGAAATAACAATGTCCACTTAAATAACTGCCATTCTCTCTAATCCAGTTACTGATTTTAAAGTAATAATTCTGATAGTGTGTTATTGTAAAGTAAGATATTTGGATTTCGGTTTCAGATGTTAGGTATCTTCTAGGATTTTTTAAAATCCCATCATTTATATTTCTCCAACATCCTAAAACTTCTACTTTAATGCTTTCATCCTTAAACATCTGAGCTCAGTAAAACAGGTGATCACAGAAAAGAAAACTGGGCACTACTGGGTACTAAAGTCACCTCATCTTGTTGGCCGTGAGATTTCATAGCTGTGCCCATTGGCAGTCATATGTTCTAGGGGTGTTATGAGATGTCTTCCTTCTGTGTCTATACACAATGTGCAGAAAACTGGCTCGGGTTCGTTTGACCAGGTGGACACACTTGCATAACAAATGCGCACCTTCATTTTCACAACTTATTCTCTGTGAATGACTGTTGTGTATGGAAAAGTGTTGTGAGTAGGTCTCAGGCACTAAAGGCGCCTGCAGGTTACACCTAGCTCGTGGAGACGCCAAATTGGGGAGGGGGGGGGGAGGGGGGGGGCGGGCCCTGAATGCGGCTATCTGGGATCTGTCTGGCTGGTTTTATTTCAGGATGTTATGAAAACCCTTTAGGTTGCAGCCTGGTGTTATTATTATGTATTTGCCGTCCCTCAGGGAGTGGCCGTGGCAGAGCGGCTAGACGCTCGCCGTGGATCAGAAGATCGTGTGTCGCTTCCTGACGGAGCCGTCCCTCTTAGGATGAAATTTTTCGTTTTTTGAAGCCCCACCCTAGCTCTTGCCAGGGGTCGCAATATAGCCAGGCCATAAATATGGCCTAATGGCTGAACGCGGTTTCTGGGACCTCTCCACGGGTGATTCTCATCCACATGGTGGCACACATGTCATTGGGTGTTTATCGCTTGTGTGATGTCCTGGTGGGGGAGAAAGTCAGTCAGTCAGTCTGGGGTGGACCAACCAATTAATCAATCAATCAAGCGATCATGGTTATAAATGCAGTGTTTAAGGACTTTATAAAGTTGTTTTACCTTTATATTTTGATGTTGAAGGTTCATTTCCGTCATCACTATCACCTGGAGCAGCAGCATCCATTTTTCGCTTCTTCGTCTTGTTCTAAGTAGAAATCAACAACAAAATTCATTCACACACACAAAAAGAATCACACACAAATTAAGCTAGAATTTTTCTAATTTTGTTCTGTAATACAGACTTCTTATTATTATGCAGCAACCCTTTATATAATGTTGCTCCTTTTCCAGCCAATCTGAAAGAAACCCAGCCCCTTATTAGCTCTTGCGTCTCATGCAGAAGGTAGGACCTATGTCTTCTAAATGCACTTAATTAGCTCTTGCGTCTCATGCAGAAGGTAGGACCTATGTCTTCTAAATGCACTTAATTAGCTCTTGCGTCTCATGCAGAAGGTAGGACCTATGTCTTCTAAATGCACTTAATTAGCTCTTGTGTCTCATGCAGAAGGTAGGACCTATGTCTTCTAAATGCACTTAATTAGCTCTTGCGTCTCATGCAGAAGGTAGGACCTATGTCTTCTAAATGCACTTAATTAGCTCTTGTGTCTCATGCAGAAGGTAGGACCTATGTCTTCTAAATGCACTTAATTAGCTCTTGCGTCTCATGCAGAAGGTAGGACCTATGTCTTCTAAATGCACTTAATTAGCTCTTGCGTCTCATGCAGAAGGTAGGAACCTATGTCTTCTAAATGCACTTAATTAGCTCTTGCGTCTCATGCAGAAGGTAGGACCTATGTCTTCTAAATGCACTTAATTAGCTCTTGCGTCTCATGCAGAAGGTAGGACCTATGTCTTCTAAATGCACTTAATTAGCTCTTGCGTCTCATGCAGAAGGTAGGACCTATGTCTTCTAAATGCACTTAATTAGCTCTTGTGTCTCATGCAGAAGGTAGGACCTATGTCTTCTAAATGCACTTAATTAGCTCTTGTGTCTCATGCAGAAGGTAGGACCTATGTCTTCTAAATGCACTTAATTAGCTCTTGTGTCTCATGCAGAAGGTAGGACCTATGTCTTCTAAATGCACTTAATTAGCTCTTGTGTCTCATGCAGAAGGTAGGACCTATGTCTTCTAAATGCACTTAATTAGCTCTTACAAATCAAGGAAAACTAAGAACATTTGTTTAATTTCATTCTAACATCTATATATATAAAAATCAATGTTTGTGTGTGTGTTTGGTCTCTATAGACTCGGAAACTACTGAACCGATTTAGCTGAAATTTTCAGGATATGTTTGTTGTGATACCGGATTTTGAACCGTCGTGGTTTGAAATTCAACCTGTCACTGTTAGAGATAGGTGACCACAATTTATGCCAAAATATACGCAACTAATATTTATAACTTTAGTGATTTCTAATTATAGCCACGTTAGTAATTGCGCATGCGCCGTATTTACCATTCGCCGGCGAGTTACGTGCAGCCAACGCCTAATACTAATACATAGAGTAGGTCGTGGTACAGCAAACAAGACTATCTCTATATTTGCCACAATAACCATATTAAACACGATTTCTATTTTCTGTTTTTTTTTTCAAACAACCTTCGATGGGGGGGGGGGCAATCAAGGACTATCTTGACGTCGGCGGAGACAGTGACTGCGACATTTACTTCATTAACCGTGTTAGACACGTGCGATTTCTATTTCATTAATATATCTGGAGTATCTGTCTACGAGAAAACAATTGCCTGCGGTTTTGAATTGTGTTTTAATCGTGACACAGTGGTAGGGACACATATGTCTAATAGTTGTGTTCTCTTTTCGTTGTTCCGATTAAGTGGCTGCTTGGTCGAATGGTTAGAACACTGGGTTCAAGTGCGGTAGACCTGGGTTCGAATCCGCAGTAGTTAAATTTTTTTTTTACCCCGGACTAAAATAATATCTTCATCTGCTCTGTCGTGGTGACAGCACTAGCCATGTTGCCTTAATATTTAAAAAAAAAAAAAAAAAAAACAAGTAAATGGGTAAACCATTTGATAATTAAATTTGACCATTTCACATACTTATGATTGCATTGTTAAACTTTCCGATTGCATGGTTACGCTGAAATTTTATAGATTTTCATTTATTTTCATTTAGATTTAGTTATTTCATCTGTGTTGGAATTTTTAAGCTGTGCTGTTTACAATGGCGTTCATTTCCTAATTATGGTGTTTTTTTTTTTCCTGTGTTCATTTGCTTTTCAAGTGTTGTTGTTTTTTTTCTCCCAACTACTTCAATGTGGGAAAGAGTTGTCGGTGGGTGAATTTGGGGGGGGGGGGGGGGGGGGGGGGGGGGGGGGGGGGGGGGGGGGGCAAACTATTAACTGAGAGAGCTTTAAGTCACAGTAATTGCTTTACCCACTTAAAGTAGCAGCAGCAGTAATAGTTGTGGTTGGGCTGTTACACCATAGTGCTCTCATGTGAAGACCGCCGGTAAGGTTATGGCGTTCTTCTGTCGGCAAGTGAAATTATACATCCTAACCTGACCAGTCTGTGGCGACAGCACTAGCCATGCGGAACCAAATCTTCTGGCTCACGACTCTCTGTCTACTCCGATGGTAACACAGATAGCAGTGACATTATTTTAGTAGTTGTACTTGGTACTTGAAGGATGATGTGTGGTAAATATTTCACTAGCCCTATTCACTACCTTTTACAATTCCTGCTCCTTATTTTAGTCCAGATGGACAGGGATGTCAATGTCAGTTTACAGCAACAACAAAATATCGCCAGTTAGTGATTTTCAAATCCTTCGAAGAGGGAGAGAGCAGTAGTCGGTGGAAGAGGGGAGGGGAGGGGGGTAATGACTTAAATTTAAGAGAACTTAAAGAGCTTTACACGTGATTTTCAAGTTCTCATTACCTAATTTGTTTATATTTTACTAACACTACCTCCGCTTTTCTATTTTTTACGACTTACTTTGTTATTTACAAGTACAGTTGTAGCTTTACTTCCGTCTCCTATAAAAATACAAACAGCTTTAGCATGTGATAACCAAATAACCACTTTTGTTACCGTGCTAATAACACCATTTAAACGACCACTAATATAAAGATACAATTATATGGTGCGTGTTCTAAAGTTGGGAAACCAGACTATCTATCTATATATATCTTCTATATATATAAAAATCAATGTTTGTGTGTTTGTTTGGTCTCTATAGACTCGGAAACTACTGAACCGATTTAGCTGAAATTTTCAGGATATGTTTGTTGTGATACCGGATTTTGAACCGTCGTGGTTTGAAATTCAACCTGTCACTGTTAGAGATAGGTGACCACAATTTATGCCAAAATATACGCAACTAATATTTATAACTTTAGTGATTTCTAATTATAGCCACGTTAGTAATTGCGCATGCGCCGTATTTACCATTCGCCGGCGAGTTACGTGCAGCCAACGCCTTCTCTAATACTAATACATAGAGTAGGTCGTGGTACAGCAAACAAGACTATCTCTATATTTGCCACAATAACCATATTAAACACGATTTCTATTTTCTCGTTTTTTTTCCAAACAACCTTCGATGGGGGGGGGGGGGGGGGGGGGCAATCGAGGACTATCTCGACGTCGGCGCAGACATTGACTGCGTCATTAACTTCATTAGTCAGGTGCGATTTCCATTGTCTTTCTTTTCTAAAAACCTTTGATGAGAGAGGGGGTTCTAGGTGGATTTAGTTGTGGGGGGGGGGGGGGGGGGGGGATCAAAGACTATCTCAAATTACGCCACAGCAATGCGTGGCCGGGTACAGCTAGTATTCAATATTATCACGTGTTATGTTTTGTTACTGCATTACACTTTCATCAATCACAACAAACAAACAAAACCATACCATCAGCATTTCAGAGACTGCTTACCCAATGCTCACCAACTTATACTCCTGGCCTATCTTGTATGGATGTTAACATAGATATACATTTATGTATATGTTGTGCGCTTTGTTATGTATGTTTTACTAAGCACATACACACACAGCTAAAAAGTCTGAACTGAATCCTTACTCTGAGTTCACCTCCCATTGCCGCCAACAATTCTTCCAACTCATCCTCATTATCATCCTCGTTACCGCTTCGTTTACGGCCTGGTTTGCCTGAATAGGAGTAACAAATAAATCTAAATAGTCATGCAACATGAAAGTAACAGGAAAAATATGATGAAATTAAACAACTAACAGGTAGCTGTTGAGATTTCCCAAAATACCCAAATAATAACAGATGATTTAAACAAAAATTAACCTCTTAATATCACCAAATAAAAAAAAATATATAATAGTTTTTAAATTTCCAGAATGTAACATCAGGCATATAAATAATATAAATACAATATTATAAATATAAAATAGTGTTACCAATAAGAATACCACCCCCCAAAAAAAATGAAGGCTCTACAGCACAGAAATAATGTCCTTCTGTAGCTTCTAAGTCAATGCAGTGTGGCACTGGTCATCATTCCAGCTCTAATAGAGAGCACTGTACTTAAATTCTCGCACCCATAAGGATTTGTTTATACAAGATGGGTAACCAGCTGCTGGCAGCATCAGACTAAGCACAGACTACAGTTCAGTGATGATCCAAGCAGATCTCCATACAAATTGCATGTGTGAACTGAACAATAAATACATCCTGAAACGAAACTCTAACCTACACAGCAAACATGCAAATGGATTCACCACTTCACCAAAGAGACAAACCCCCTCCCCCCATCAGTATTCAAGACCTGATCAATCAATCAGGTGCCGTCTCCAAAGTTAAGATTGCCTGCAATGGATCTCCAACATGCCTTGTCTCTTATCCTGGTTGTACTCTCTCAGACTGATGCCCGTCACCTCTTGATGTTGTCCTCTTACTTGTATCGTTACCCACCTCTTGCTCTCTTGCCTTCGACCCTTCCTCCAGTATGGCTTTTTTTAAAGGCGTGTTAGATCTTTTAATGTGGCTAAAGTAGTTCAACTGTCTTTTATTTATTTCAGTAATTCTATTTTTGTCTGTAGTCTTTCCAGAACCACTGAACTGGACTCAAGACTAAAGTCTTATTTACTATCAATCATGTCCGACATCTTGTGCAGGTTCCAGGGTCACATTGTAAAGAATAAATAGTAGACCCACTGCTCCCCGAACAAGCATAGACTTAAAAGTTGACTAATTATGAGTGTTTTCTTCAAAGTCAGAGTGCATTTGCCTGAGAAGCGAGGAACCAACAGTCTTTATACAAACAAACCAGATCTGTAAAACAGATGTGCATGCAAACTCAAGTCCTGGAAAGTCCAGATGTGGATGAACAATCAGAACTTACTGTCAGAATTTACCTCCAGTGAGTGTAAGAAGAAGAATTTCTGGCACAGATGATCCTCTATACATGACGTAGTTCCCCTTGGTTTTTTTTTTTGGGGGGGGGGGGGGGGGGTGGAAGGGCATAGCAAAGGCTAAATAAAACAAGTAATTTTTATATGGCAACTGCCATAAACCACACATATTATACTTCTCAAAGATGTAAACAGTAAAAGAGTGAAACTCCTATTCCTAGCTCAAACATATTTGGTTAAACTCATGATGTGAACTACATTCATACAAAATAAGAAAAGATATGGCACATTCTTCTTTGATCCTACAGTGATGGAACTAGTCTGTTCAGATAAGGGAAGGAAATTCAAAGAACCTATGTGCATAAACATTCACCTGTTGGAAACTAAGAAAAGGCCAAATAGGCCACATTTCAAAACTGGAAAGAGAACCCACCAAAGATCCATTTATAGTAAGAGTGAATATGGTATGTACATGTGGATTGCTCTGGTGCTACAGAGTCTGTGCGCTACGATGAATCTCTCCCCATGTGATCTATAGGTAGGAAGGATGAGAGCCAGGAAGGACACCATCTAGATATCTAGCTATGTATGAGATACTTTACCAAAACCTAAAAAGTTAGTGCATGTGATAATCATAACTGTGTGTCAATTACAACAATTGAAACAATATTTCTGACTATAGGACCCCCCCCCCCCCCCCCCCCCCCCCCTGCCGCTCAGGGCTCAATTTTGATGGAACTATAGATCCCCTACCCCTTCCCAGGGGTTTGCTGAAATCACATGTGTATGGGAAAAGACTAAGATATCACAGCCTAGCTTCAACACAACATTCCAACTGCCCTTTGAAGTGTAAACGCAAGAAGAACAAGGTACTACACACCCACAAAAATTACAGAAAAGACACAAACAAACTACCTTTTTCCTTCTCTTCTTCATCCTGAGTGATGATAAGTCTACCATCGGCAGACAACTTAAAACCTCTTTCCTTATCCTCTGTCTTTTTATCTCCACTGTTGTCTTTTGGCTTGGTTGCTAAAATGATATATAAATATTACTCGTAACAAGAAATATTATTTACTGAGCATGTGTGTGTGTGTATAGAGAGAGAGGGAGAACAATGGGTGTGGGGGGACACACACACAAACGAACAAACTTTATTTTTAAAGGGTTAAGAACTCGCCTATTTTACATTCTGCTCTTTTAGCATCATTCCTTTCAAAATCTCTTCCACTCATACATCATTTAACAGACCATAATAATAGTAATAAAAATAACAGTAAAAACTTCATCAAAATTTTGAGTCTTAGTTAAAATCGCTGGAATTTGTTCTAATTATGACTACATTTCTAAACAACAATTATACTGATTTAGAATGTGAAATTTTTTTTAATGGAGCATGTAGAGAGAGAGTGTGAAACACACATATACACAGAGAGAGAGAGAGAGAGAGAGAGACAGAGAGAGAGAGAGAGAGAGACAGAGAGAGAGAGAGAGAGAGAGAGAGAGAGAGAGAGGCAGACAGTAGCCTATGAGATGTGTTATGGAAAGGGCCCTTCTCGCCCCACTAGGACATTAATTAAATGCTAGAACAATATTCTATGGTTCAAATGGCCCTCGATGAATGATGTGTTCAACATTACACCAGCTGGTTTTACTTCCCAGGATATCTCCTGGCACCCATTTTTTGGTTGTCAGTCTGGCAACCCAGATCATTGATAAAGATCTGATAGATCAGCATTGATACTGTATAACGAGAATGGTGAACTTATTTTAAAAATTATATTAACAAAGAGCCAAGCTCTGTTGTGGTCTCACCAAAGACTTGCTTGGATGCTGTTGGGTCCATAAAGTCGACTATTCCATCATCCCCAGTCTCCATCAGCCAGGCATCCTTGCCATGTCTCTTCTTGCCTTTCTTCACCCTCGTTTTCTTACTGTCATCATCATCCATTTCAGAGTCAGTGTCCTTGAGGAGGTCATCAATGCTAGCATTGAAAAAAAAATGAACATATTTTACTTCAAGAAAAAAAAAAGGACCATTTTCATGACAATTTTATTCTGATGTCTCTAAGGAATCTTTCAGATGGGTAGCTGAAATGATTTACCTGCTTGACATTTTACTAATTTACTTGAAGTTGCACTGTTTTTCTAAAATGGGTAGACTTTCCTGTGACAAGATATCAAAGTACTAATTTCATGGGCACTGTGCTGCAGAGCTCCCTTTCCCTTCCTCAAGTAGATTTCAAGCAGTGTGTGTAAAACTTCACATCAACAAAGAAACATACAAGGATGTAAAAGACAGGCTGACTGGGGTTACACCCAAGCTGGTAACGTCTCCAGTGTTAGTGATTTCACAGTCATGCTCAAAAGAATATTCTTCTTCTGCATTCATCCGAAGACGTAAATAAATTGTGCCCGTTTATAAATGGCTGCAATACTTGAGCCTTTCAGCCAATACATTCGACTTCTGCAGGCTTTTGTGGTCAGGGTTAGCCTTACCGATAAAAAGAATGAATAACCCAACTGTTCAGGTCATTTGTCTTTCCAGATGACTGTGTAAACTGTGCTAAAGAAAGGCATGGAAATCACAGCCCATGGCAATGGCAAGTGGACCAGCAACACCTGCCCATGTTAAGAAAAATCTTCAACAATAAGTTCACAGGATTTCAGGATCTCTGTTTTCATCACATATATCTGCGATATTGTTCAGGTCATTTTTCTTCTTTCTCTTCCTAGTGTTCAGCAGATGTAAACTCCGGTGAAAACTTCTGGTTCTTCGCCCACTTATGGACATTATTCTCTTATTCAAGAAAGATATGGCTTATATGTTTGCAGAATGTTGGTTTAGGCTATTTCAGAATTTGAAATTTAAACAAGCTTTATACAACAACAGTACTACATTAACTTACCTTTCAGGTTGTGCTGTGATTTGATCTTCATCATCACTTTCTTCATCTTCATCTTCACTGCCTGCATCTTCCTTCTCCTTTCTCTTGGCTCTTTCTTGTGATTTGTGAATGTTCTTTAGCAGTTTGTGCACTCCTTCTTGTGTCAAGTTGACGATTAATTCGTATCTAGTTAACAAATAATGTCAACAATTTTACCAAACACTGGTGCATCATAAAACTCTAGCACATCAAATAAACACTAGTGTGCTTTTGCAGTGTTCCTCTACATATCATCAACATCATGTGCCCTGCATGACACGACTCACCATCTCACATGATCACCAGAATCACAGATCAGTGTTCTAGTCTCACCTTAACCACAGGGCCAAGCTATCATTGTATTTACCTCAGTGCCCTTATTTTTTTTTTTTAATTCCATAAATCTTGCCAACTGATTTTGAGGTCCTTTCCTTTTCCTAACATAACACAATAAATACACCAACTGTTTATGTCTAATTTGTCTTATGAGTGAGGTTTTAATCTGTCTGAGTAAGAAGGCCTTGTTTGTTTTATACTTTTCCATGATATTCTTTGCATTCTTCGAAAAAATCCCATATGCAGCCACAATTGTATCAGAAGCAGATTGGGTGAAGTAGTTATTGTTGTTGTTATCGATCCAGCGGCGCATGAGCTTTCGTGAAGTAGTTATTGTTGTTGTTATCGATCCAGCGGCGCATGAGCTTTCGTGAAGTAGTTATTGTTGTTGTTATCGATCCAGCGGCGCATGAGCTTTCGTGAAGTAGTTATTGTTGTTGTTATCGATCCAGCGGCGCATGAGCTTTCGTGAAGTAGTTATTGTTGTTGTTATCGATCCAGCGGCGCATGAGCTTTCGTGAAGTAGTTATTGTTGTTGTTATCGATCCAGCGGCGCATGAGCTTTCGTGAAGTAGTTATTGTTGTTGTTATCGATCCAGCGGCGCATGAGCTTTCGTGAAGTAGTTATTGTTGTTGTTATCGATCCAGCGGCGCATGAGCTTTCGTGAAGTAGTTATTGTTGTTGTTATCGATCCAGCGGCGCATGAGCTTTCGTGAAGTAGTTATTGTTGTTGTTATCGATCCAGCGGCGCATGAGCTTTCGTGAAGTAGTTATTGTTGTTGTTATCGATCCAGCGGCGCATGAGCTTTCGTGAAGTAGTTATTGTTGTTGTTATCGATCCAGCGGCGCATGAGCTTTCGTGAAGTAGTTATTGTTGTTGTTATCGATCCAGCGGCGCATGAGCTTTCGTGAAGTAGTTATTGTTGTTGTTATCGATCCAGCGGCGCATGAGCTTTCGTGAAGTAGTTATTGTTGTTGTTATCGATCCAGCGGCGCATGAGCTTTCGTTAAGTAGTTATTGTTGTTGTTATCGATCCAGCGGCGCATGAGCTTTCGTGAAGTAGTTATTAAAATCGCCTAACTCCACACACACACTTTCATTTTTAGCCCTTGCTCGATTATGTAGATGTAAGTCTATGCCTCACATACTTGACTATGTGTCTAAACAGGTGACTATAATATTCTGAAGACCATAAACGAAAGAATGTTGACATAAGTCACAAGAAAATTTGAAATAACGTGCAAGACTGTGTGAACGAGGAATTCGGTGTGGATCTGGCAAGGAGGGACAGATGAGAGTATAATCAGTGTGCTACAGGAACAGGTAGCATCTACACCTTAAGGCATTTGCTGTGGGAAAACAGAGCATCCATGGGTGTGTCTGGTGTGTCATGATGTCAATTCTTAAATCAGTCATTACAACCATATATTTAATATCTGACAACAAAATCAGCCTTGCTGATTCCAGTTGTGAAATCTCTTGTTAACTTCAACACAAAACCTATTTCTGAAAGGAACCCTGCAGTAGGGAGCTGCTGTGGTATAACTGCTAGACAGTTGCCTGCGGGTCCAGAGATCGGGGGTTCAGGTCCTGATGCAGTCAGACTTTTTCTTGTCTCCCAGGTTGTGGACACTAAAGTGTGTACCAGGTTAACTCCTGGGAAGTAAATGTGGCCAATATGATGCTGCCATATGACCCACCGAGTGCAGATTGGTCTATAAAATATAGGTCTATCCCTATATGCCTAATATGCTTTGAGGCGTGGACAAGGGGTCCTTTTACCTTGTAATGACCTTATTACAACCCGAGGCTTACTTGCAACACTGTCTTTACACTAAATATCTGGACACTACTTTTCTCTGCATTAAAGTCTGGAATAAAGCGTTTTACTTATCCACACAAACATGTGGTTTTCAATCTGCATTGTGATTACAAACACAGTTATATTATATTTCCTGTGTACCCTTACCCAAATCTCTTGATCAGTTTCAAATAAATGATCTTCGTTAAACGTCTCATATTGCCTTTCACAGCAATTTCATGAAGGCTGTTCAACTTTTAGAAGAAAAACAAAGATTCACATAAGAATATATAAAGTAAATGTGTGAAATAAAACAAATATTCACACAGAATGTTACATACTAGAGTGTGACATATTATGTCATCACATATTTTAGGTAATGGCATTGTGAAGTGTGGTGATCAGATACCTTGCTTATCATTCTCCTTTATTCAGAAAAATCTGTTACTTATTTTAGGAGACTTGGTTGAGCCCACAGCTGTATCAAAATTATTATTCTTCGTAGAAGTTCTGGTTGTTTTTCTACTACTGGACTTTAGTCCTGTTCTAGAAACTGAGTGTTGCGTGCACATCCATTTTAGAGGTCTGACTCATTTGCCTCTCAGGCAGATGTACTCCGACTTCAAAGGAAGCTCCCATTTAATCGACTCTTGCAAAATGCTTTGGGGCAGGTAGTGGGTCTATTCTTGTTTTCCCCATAACAGGACCCTGGAACCCACACAGGGAGCCGTATCAATCAATTAGGTGCCACAACTATAATACCGGTTAGATGCAATGGATATCCAAAACGTTCTCCTCCTGGTTGTACAAAATTTGATGTTTCTATTTGAATTGCTGTCTATCTCTTGCTGTCAACTTTTCCCCACAGTATTGTCTTAATGTCCTCTTTTAATGTAGTTTAAAAATGTCACCTTTCTCTTCAAAATGTTGGTAGTATCTGTTTTTGGTTTCATTTGTGACTTACTCTTATGGATATCCATACACAACTGTACATTTCCAAGTTTAAAATGTCTCAGGACGGACAATGAACTGATCAGCTAGTAATTCAGTCCACATTTTATTGTACTGTGGTGTTTCTTAACAGGAGTAATGAAGATTTTTTCAAGGGGAACTAATCACCCACATCAGAAGGAGACAATCTACATTATCTGGTCACATCTTGAGAAAGATAGAACGAGTACATCATGATGGTGTGGAAGACAGAAGGCAATGGGAGCAGAAGGATACTGAAAGAGAAGATGCTGGACAGCTTCACATCATAGTAGGGGAAAGCATCTGTGTCAGAAATCTACATGAGACAGAAGACAGCACAGACATGACCATTCTGTTATACGCCATAGGCTTTAAGAAAAACAGCCACACACAAAAGTGTGCACTGACAAAACTTAGACCCAAAAAAATCCTTGCTATGATTTTACTGTACGCTGTTGCTAACTATCCTGCTCTAATAAGATATTAACTGAAATAAAAAGCAGATATTAACTGAAATAAACAACAAAACTCATAGACAAAAATTGAATAATTAAAAACACTAGGGAAGAATTAATGTCTTACCAAATCTTTCAGATGTGCAGCCAGAACCGTGTTTTCATAGGCAGAAAGTATGACTTTAACAAAGCCCAGAGCAGTTTTAATAATCTCCCTTGTTTTTGATGCCAGCAATAAGCAGACGCTGTCAATCATATTATCCAGGACGGCTCCAGCCAATTTATCTGTACAGTTTAAAAACACATGTAAAAGACAATGGGGGGAAAAACATTCGATGTACATAAATTGAAAACAATAAACCACTTTGATATGATCCTACCATTTCCCATCATCTTCCACTTTACCCAGTGCCAGATGGATGCACTATTGTCATTCTCTCTCAATGTACAGTGTCTTTAACATTGTTAAACAATCTGTTTTTTGGTCTCACTTCAGGTCTTCTTAAATACAGCGCTTGTGCTGGTAAGTGGTGCTGTACTGAAACAAGTTGCTGACCCCACATTCTGTCTAAAGTTTCCCATAGCCTCTAATTATAATTTTAAAATAGGTGTATTTACGACATAGACAATTAAATGCAGCTAAAACAAAAGCGAAATAATTTTTTTAAAAAAAAGGGAAAGAGCCAGTGGCACATTAGACATTTGATGCTAGACTCTACAGACTAATTGTAGACACAGGGTGGTGTGGTCATCATTATGCCAGCCACTGGGATGTGCCCATTATAGGCTGGGGAAACGGTGGCAGCCAAGGACAACTTTGAAAAACAGACTCAATGCAGATTTGAACCAAAGACTTTTGGGCCAGCAGGCATGTCTCTGGTAACTACACTTCTGTAGCTCCCATATTAATATTTATTATATATTAAACCTTTTCGACCCATGGGTGCTAAAAAAAATGGACCAAGACCCAGAGAGAATTACACCAGAAAAATCTTGTAAACAAATATTTTGTTATAAGTAACTGTTGTTGTTGTTATCGATTAAGCGGCTTATGAGCTTTCGCCCTTTGGCCCAATGCCATGTAGTGGAATTTGCATGTTTTCACAAGCTGTTCTTTTCCTCCGTGCAAGGTGTTTCACTTGTCTAATCTCGGAGGGAGTAGCATTCTTCTAGTCTTGCTGAGTTTTGGGCACTCAAAGTAACTGATAAACTGTTGAAAAACATATTTATAATAATTGTGTAAAAAGTATATAGAGGGGGTAATCAATATTCAAAATTCCCTGTGTGGGTTCCAGGGCCATGTTGTGGGGAAAACAAGAACAGAACCACTGCCTTCCCAACAAACATACTGTTGAGAGTCGACTAACTGGGGGTTTCCTTTGAAATTGGAGTGCATCTGTTTGAAAGAAAAGGAACCAAAAGTCTGCATAAAAATAAGTCAGATCTGTAAAATAGATGTGCACGCAATACACAGGTTCTGGAACAAGTCTTAGGTCCAGAGGTGGATAAACAACCAGAACTTTCCACCTGATTCACAGCTGGTGAATGCAAAGAATATTGAAAATGCTATACTTAGTAAATATATTCACATCCAGACCTCCTAAACACAATGCAATGGCACTTCACTACACTTTTAAAGCAAAGGTCATTGCAGAAATGGCGATAAATCTGCATTTCACAGCCAGAAGTGACAAGATCTTGCCTTCGCTGTGCTATAAATTTCTTCTTGACACTAAAAAAATCCCATGAAAACTCATTTTTAATCTTATTCTGCAGCTGTGCACTTGTGCAACAAGCAGCGACCAGACAAGCAGTAAATACAAAGGTCAAAGAAAGGTGCGGACAACAGTGGTACAGCTGTAGCATCGCTTACCTTTATAGTGGTATACAAGTAGCACAGCTGTAGCATCGCTTACCTTTATAGTGGTATACAAGTAGCACAGCTGTAGCATCACTTACCTTTATAGTGGTATACAAGTAGTACAGCTGTAGCATCACTTACCTTTATAGTGGTATACAAGTAGTACAGCTGTAGCATCACTTACCTTTATAGTGGTATACAAGTAGTACAGCTGTAGCATCACTTACCTTTATAGTGGTATACAAGTAGCACAGCTGTAGCATCACTTACCTTTATAGTGGTATACAATGCGAGTCAAGGCTAACAGTGTAGCACTGATCATGTGGGGAGAGCCTGCTAGACCAGCTAACACTTTGTTGACAAACTCTCCTAAACTTTCTGAAACAACATCAGGTAAGATGTCAGAAAATGCAACAAATCTGTTAATGCAAAGTAAAGAAATCCCAATTTACAAATAATTTACACAAGACAATAGATTACATATTTTAAAAGGTGTAAATAAGTGAAAGTAAAAGGAATTTTCGACATACATAAAAATTGGGAAGATAAACACTGAATTTACATTTCTATACCAAACCATACCTGATAGAGATGAAAGGTATGGTGGACAGTCATCTACATGGCATGCATGTCAGGTGGAGCAGTGGTTCCCAATTAGAAAAGACCCATGGACCCCACATTTTTAAATGTCTGCATTGGACCCATACTTATCAAAAAGAGTAAATCTATATCAGAATGGCAAAAACAAAATAGGGTTGAATGCTGTTGTTTTCATCTTTTGTTAACAATATCTCAGACCCAACTGGGAACCAGAGATACTGCATAAAAAGTACAAGTTAACAATTCATCTTCATCTTCTGAATCATATGACGGTACTGGCCCCTAGCTTCATAATTTTACAGTCAAACAGGAATGAGTGATGTTATCAGTATAACGTCAGCTGCCTTTACTTCCAAGAAATTTTGTCACATGCATTTTTAGGTTGCGTTTACATTAAAGCTAGGTCATATTTAGACATCTGCCTCAATGGGAATTCAAATCTGTGACCACAAGGCCAAGAGTTAACGGTGCTAGCCACTGTTTGTATTTTATTTTGTTAAGTGAAGAATCTCAGTACATCTTTACAGTCTACAGTACATTTTGTTTCAATTAGGAAAAGATCAGCAGACACTGTGGTGAAAATAGACCAATCTCGTTAGAAATATCACATATTATCTGTTCAAATATTAACAATATAGAGTTAGGAAATTAGTGAGCAGAACAATTATAGAAGAAATATTACAGCACGCAGTAACAATTTAAAACAGGAATAAAACCAAAGAGACCAAAAAAAAATCACAGGACCTTGATAGCATAAAAAAAATGATTCAGTGGTTAAACATAACATGTAAAAGAGTAGTCAGTCAATTACAACTATTATAAGATTTATGAGATAAATGGCCCTACCTTTCTCAGTAACATCTCCATGCCATCTGATATATGTTTCAGACATTACAATAATCAGCTCATACGCTGCAGCTCTGGCCTTCACTCCTATTTCTTTGGTGCACAAGATGGCCTAATAAGCAGACAGTTTCATCAATTATCTTCTTATAAATCAGCATATGAAACAGACAACTAACTATTCTTCCAAATGGTGTCAATCTCTATTTTTAAATCTATCCAATTAACATATTTAAAATTACCCCCCCCCCCCCCCCAAAAAAAAAACATTTTGGGATATTATTTTTGCTGTCAGTTTGAATCTCCTCTTTTGTCAAATATTTTATTAAACAACTACCAGACTGCAATCAATTCTCTTTATGCCTAAAGGCACATGAGGCTCCAGAGAGGACTGTCCATGCAATCTTTAGCGCAGTTTTCCATGTCAGAGATACTGCACTTAATTCACTTTTCATCGTTCGTCTCCGTGTTGTTTTTTATCGCTCCTTCTTTCTCTTTTCCTCTTGCGTCCATGTGAAAGCTGGTTTTGGTAGGTATATCAGGATTCATTCTCCTAATGTAGCCAAGCCATTTCCATCTTCTCTTTGTTATCATACTGTCTAGAGTTTCTTGGTTTGTGACTTTTATTAGTTTAGTCTTCGAGATTGTATCTGGCCAGAAAATTTTGATAATTCTACGTAGATATGTGTGTACATAGACTGCAAGGTATACTGCACATTTCACATCTCCTTATCGCTAATGAAATAAAATTTAAGAAATATAATTTGCTGGTTTATAAAGTCTTCTCTTTAAAAATATCAACAGCATGCACACTGAATGCTTATATCAATCACTAGTGAATCTTTGAGGCAACTAAAATACATAAATTTATAAGTACCTACTCAGAAGCAGCCAGCCAGGAAAAGGGAAGAGGGGCCTCAAGTCAAATTCAGCAGACTTACTTTCTGAGCACACTCAATTCCAGTATTTATAAATATAGTTAGTAAGCGATTCACAAATATGTAACAGAACATTACTGAACCCAAACTCACCTCCGGCAGTGTGGCCATAAATATATACATGTTTTTTTCTTGCAAGTTCTTGTACACGTGGATGAGACATCGCAACCGAGGCTGTAGTAAAAATTATAATTTTGCATTATTTTAAACCATAAATAGTATAGTGTCTTGCACACACACACACACACACACATATATATATAAATACACTGCCACTAGAAATATACACAGCCACTAGCAATTTATAATGAAACTACCAGTATATATATTTACACACACACACACATACACATATTATATAACAGAACATTACTGAACCCAGCAGTGTGGATACAAATATGTTTTTATTACCATGTTTTTTTTCTTGTATTTGTTCACAGGTATGTATATGCAGCACTAAACACTAACAAAACAATCAATCAATAACTATTATAGTCATCATCTTTAGAAACAAACTAATTGCCATCTAAAGTAATTGACCCACAAAGAGAACTGACTGCCCACACCAGGAGACATTCTACATTCTCTGATCATTTGATGAGAACAAAACTGGAGTACACTGTGACAGTGGGAAAGTGAGAAATTAAGAGAGAAGATGCTGAATAATTTGACATTATAGCATGTAAGGTATTCAATGTTAGAAATGACTGTAGTATGTGAGACAGAAGATTGTGGATAGACATGACTACCTTTGCCTTTCCTGTGTGTTCACCGGCTGTAAACTCTAGCAGAAAACTCTGGCTGTTTGTCCACTTCTGGTCTAGAAACTGAGTGGTGCATGCACATCCATTTTACATATCTGGCTGATCTGTATGCAGACTGTTGGTTCCTTGCCTCTCAGGCAGATGCACTCAGAATTTAAAGGAAGACCTCAGTCAATTCTTATGACATGCTTGACTGGGAGACAGTGGGTTTTTCCCACAATGGGGCCCTGGAATCCACACGGCAGCACAACTACCAATGCCACACAGCACGGACTATAAGAAGTCATCCAAGGTAATATAACCATTTATCTTGTATAGTAACCAACTAATCTGTGGTAAAAATGTGTCCCCACCTTACTGTCCATATAAAAACTCACCAATCTGATCAGACAACTATGGACTTCTGCTTTATGTTCTCCAAAAACAGTTTAACAAATTTTCCCCTTCTACCTTTCTCAAATGGGAGTCCCCGTGGTGTAGCAGCTAGACGCTCTCCTGCAGATCAGAAGGCCGTGGGTTCAGGTCTTAACGGAGCCCCGCCCCCAACTTTTTTCATAAACGACCTTAGCTCCCAGGTCAACCCAGCCTTGAGAAGACAAGATACCAGGTACATCCTGGGAAGTAAAGGTGGCCGCGTGATGCTGACTACATCACCCAACCTGAATACTGTCAAATACCTTTCTAATTTCATGTAACGAAATATAAAAAAAATTGTTGATTTATAACAATTAGAAACACTTACAGCTTTAGATGATGGGCTGGACTTTGACAGGGAGTGAAGCAATGTTTCAGTGATTTTATCCAGGTTGGATGACAAGAGATCTCTACAGCCAGCTGTTTTTCCACTGCAGATTTCTTCAAGGACACGGTAAGACTTTTTCTGGATGGTCTTATCATCTGACTGGATGTGAAAGTAGTACAAACAGATATATCAACAACAACAGATATCCATTTAAAATGTATCAGTTATTCATTAATGCAATATACACAGCTAGTTAGTTGTGTATCTTTAACAGAACGTTGCAGAATCAACCCCAGAAGTCGTTAGTTGTTTGTGATTTCACTAAGCAATTTTACATTAAGAAGTTTGCCACTGTTTTCTAAACAGCCAAATCTCAATACCAGTTCTAAAACCAACACAAGGTGGTCTGCTGCCATAAAGCCTGCAGCTGGGATCAAACCAAGCACCTCAGAATTATGAAGCACATTTGCAATGCTTAACCCACAGATGCCCATTTTAATCAAGGAAACAGGTGCATGTAATGTACCACAGAGTGAGCCTACAAAATATATTTGTGGACTATTAACACTATCTGCACATAAGTGATGTGGGACAAAAACTTGATTCTTAAATTATGTGAGGTTCTGGTGCTTAATAATTTTCTCTCAAATTGTATGTATTGTAAGATCTGATTATGTCTATGTTTTCTTTGGCATTCAGTGATACTTTGGTTAGTTGCGAATCCTTTACAGGACGTTGCAGAACCAACCCCAACAGCCCAAGGCTGTTGTGTGGTTTTTCTAGGCAAATTTACGTCCAGTAGTTTGTCATTGCTTTCTGAACGGTCAGCTTTCTTGATACCACTGTTGCCACCAGCGCAAGGTGCATGGCCCGCAGCTGGGATCCAACCTGGCATCCCGGCATTAGGAAGCGTTCGCATTGACTTAGCCACAGAGCCGACAAGTGATACTAAAAGAGTTAAAATTAAATTATTAAAAATTTGCAAATAATTTAAACTAAAACAGAATTCAACACTTCAAGAGAAGCGTTATCTATTTAATAAGCAAGATATAACATATTAACAAACAAATAAAATATTGTTATAATTACACCAAAGGATTTCCGTGCCTTGCTTAATTAAACCACTTATATCAGTTGAGATGGTTCAGTTCATCCAGATCATGAATATACAAAAAAGCTTAATCACAGCCTACAGTCTAAAATAAAAATAAAAATTTTTTAGCATTAGTACCCTTCTCTTTAAAACAAGATAATGTAAGGCAGCAGATCAACATATGAACAAAAGTACTCTACTAACCTGAACTCGTGGCAGGGCCAGTTCAAACATCTGGTTCAGTCTTGTAGGGTCTGCATATGGAATCATGGCAATGGCCAGATCTAGCAATGCTATGCTGTTGATAAAGAGAAGTGCCCACATCAGAAATTAAAACTGAGAGATATACTTCTTTTTCACCACATTCACCGGCTTTAAAATCCAGTGGAAAGTTCTGGTTGTTTGTCCATTTCTGGATACTAATCTTGTTCTCAGGCAGATGCACTCTGATTTTAAAGGAATTAGTAGACTCTTATGACAATCTTATGGTCATCATAAGTATCATAATTACAATTTGGAAGTTGACTAACTTACCTGGGTTTTGCCCTGCTGGAATGCCATCCAGGATGTGACTCTTTAGGGCAAAGGGATGTTCAAATCTTCAACCAGCAGCCCAAAGAGAGGAACAGACAGGTGGATGTACCAGGGTTACGTGCAGTTCTGACCAATTTTCTTCATCTCCTTGTAAGATATCTTGGGAGCAGGAAATAGTCTGGCTAATGAGGAGGGGCTTTTTAATGCCAGGGTACCAGGTTCGATCCCAGCTGCGTGCCTTGTGCTGGTTTCAACAACAGTATCAAGAAGTCGACCATCCAGAAAGCAATGGCAAACTACTGGAAGTAAACGTGCCTAGAAAAACCACAACAGCTAAAATGTTGGGGTTGGTTCCGCAAAGTTCTGTAAAGGATAAGCATCTAACTAATGAGGAGGGATTCACAGATGATCTCTGATTTCCTGAAGCATGGCAGTTCTTTGTATACCACATGATTTGCCAAAAAGTCATGCAACCCTCTATGATACTAATAGAGACCCATATTCACCCCAGCCTGCATGGCAAGCAGCTCATAAGGATGTGAGATCCGTAAAGCTGAGTGTCACACACCTCTGGGTGACATTGCTGGTCCGTGGCTCGTAACTGGGCCTATGACAGACAAACTAACCTTTAACACACACTGAACCCGAAAGCACACACGACAATCTTTATTGTAAGTACAGGTAATACAATAGACAGTTGACTTCCCGCCGTGTGGCCACATATTGCTTGGACCCTCTGGCCGAACGAGCTTTACAATCGCCTCGCTCTCCAGTCCGTTCCACAAGCAATCTCCTGGTGCACAAACCCCACTGGCATGAGGTACGCTCTTACCTATCGACACACTGACCAATCAAACTGTCACAGCCTCTGTCTAGTGCAGGGTCAGAGTGCCAAGGTTAGACATTCTCTCACAGAACATGTACACAACTGATTTAACTGGTCAGAAGTAACTGGAACCTTTTTACTTCTTATGGAACAACACAATACCTTGTACCAGTTAAATACACAGCACAAAAACTATCCTATTCTAACAGAACATTGTAAATAATCTATGCAGTCACTAACAGAAATATCCTAACTCTAATATACTATCGCTGTCTCGCTAACACATCTGCTTCGTCTGACTGTCGCACACCCAATGTCCTGTGTTCTCCCCACCTCGTGTCTCTTGACCCCGTTCACCAGCTCAGTCCCAAAAGGGGTAATCGTGTTGCGGACTTGTCTACAACAAAGTTCACTCTTTCTTGTCGTGGCCAAGCGCTTTATCCTGAGCGCTGGTTTCACAGTGCAATAACAGAACAGACTTGACCAGTCACAGCCCTGACCTTTGTGTCAACCCTGGGGTGTCACCTCAACACGCACACCTTACAGTGTGGTACATTCCGCTACTGACTGTACTCAGAGGGTTGTGACACTGAGGTACTATGCTTTTCCTATATATTTATACTTCCATAGCTTTACTGTGGTCACCTCATTCTCATAAGGATATATTGTTTGTCTACCAGAAAAGCCCCAAAAAATCAGCATTTCTTGGTATTTATGTTTCTAAAAATTACCATACATGTTTTTATAACTATTTATATTGGAGGGTGTTTCTCATTTCAAGAAAGATGTCAGAACAGAAGCATCAAACTTACTTTCTGTAAATATTCACTTCCAAATCTCCCATTTTCTCCAAGCATTTGTCAAGGAAGGCAGACAGCAGCTATGAAAAAAGAACAAACACAAAAATGTCAAAATGATGTTTAAAAAATAGTTATGCCTTTGATTATTATATTATGTTACACTTCCTATTCACTGCTGACCAATGAAGAAATACTGAAATGAATAAATGAAAGCTCTTCTAGGACAGACCAATGAATGTAACTTGAACAATAACTGGAAGCAAACCTGACAAAAAGCGTTATCTTTGAATGTACCATATTGGTTTATTTCGTTAACAACATTCAAATGGATTATGAAAATTCATGAATACTTTAATCCAAAGAATGCAAATTAATTCTCTTTTCCCATCTCTCGCTTTCTCTCTAATGACAAAATAGTATTTGATTACTTTCCATGGATTAGATCAGTAGATATACAAATGACAAAATAGTATTTGATTACTTTCCATGGATTAGATCCGTAGATATACAATTACATATACAGCTTTGTATCTATTCTCCTGACTTGTTAAAAATCCACAGCTTTCTGCCTGTGTCAAATAAAACTGATCCATTCCACAAGTATGCTGACTCATGCTCATTGACCTTGTATCTATACAAGGGAAACAAATCCATCTCCATCAGCAACTTCGTTCTTATGTTAATGATTCCTGCACTAGGCACACATGATGACTGACATCCCAGCACAACAGTGTTATCCAGGGGGGCAATCTGCCTTCTGAGATCCACACAGCTCAGACTGACACCTCATGCTCCTTCAACTACTTCATTGTGAATCCTTGGGAACTCCTTGGGAGTTAATCTCCTAACAACATGCACATTTTTATTTGTCAATACACAACAACAGATTACGTACTGGTTTAGTTCTGTGTGTAATTTGTACGCGACACACCCACTGACAAAAGCTCTAGATTTCTTCATATTTATGTTTCTACGTACGACTGAGGAAGGAAGCAGACAATTTTCTAGAAGGTCGTCATCACCACACTGAGCCACTAATGTTCATTAGCAGTATACTACAGTCATGTCTGGATAAGTAGAAGTCGCAGGGACCTAAGAAAATGTTTCCACTTATCAGGATTTCTACTTATCCAGACAGCACACACAATAGGGAAAATTGCCGGGACTAAGCTGGTCATGTCGACTTAACTGAAATTTGACTTATCGGAGTTCGACTTAAGTGGACGCAACTGTAATTATTTTTTCCTCCAATCAAAAAGTTAATTGCATATAATTTACAGGATGTTACCAAGCAACCCCCAACATTTGCTGACTGGTTTTTACTAGGCTATTTAAAGTTCAGTAGTTTGCCACTGCTTCATACCATCATCAAAATAGTCTACTGCCAGACTCGACTGCCTGTAGGTTAACTGAACCCAGTATTTTGATTACAAATCACAATGCCTAATCCACAGACGCTGACCCTAATATAGCAAACAAAAGCCACAAATAATACAATAGGTGTAGATATTTCCTGTAAACAAATAAACTACTTGCATTCTAATATAATGATAAAAATAATCTTACTTTACTGTCTGAAACCAAAAGGTATTTTTTAACAGTTTCCAACACTGCTAGATGCATTCCGTCATTGAGGCCAGGTGTTGTAAATAGGTTAAACAGAATTGGCAGAAAGTTTTTGGCAAATCTTCCTATCTCTGCTTTATCAGAATCTGTTCAGGAAAAAAAATAGTTGTGTTACAAAATACTCTGCATAATAACTATTTTTCTACCAAATACAGTCTTCTTCTTACTAGTGATCACTGGCTGTTCACTACAGAAGAAGACTATCTGTATGCAAACTGTTGGTTTTTCATCTCTCAGGCAGATGCATCCCAGCTTGGAAGAAAAGACTCGTAATATTCATTTGACTTTCACAACATGCTTGTTTGGGGAAGGTGCAGCAATATGTCATTTCTTTTTTTTCTCCACTAAAAATTGAGACAATACACATAAAGTTCATTTATATGTCACTGGATATAGGATGACAGGTCAAATGTTTCGTGTCCAAATGTTATTCCTTGCTCCCCCCCCCCTCCCCCCCAAACTATCTTCACTGTAATATCTGCAGATCAATAATTTATAAACAAAAGCAAGACAAAGAGATATATAACTTTTCAGGATTCAACTTCCGGAGGTTCGTTTCAACAAATTTTGTCAGAAGCTTCAGCATCCATACTGTATTTAAAGGAATTCAAAGGAAGCACAGTTGGCCTGACTTCTTCCCCCAGAAAGTGACAACTGGTGATTTTTTTTTTGGGATACAAAGTCTGGAAAAGTATTCACTACTTAATTTACATAGAAAGTACAGCTCCCCACACTTTTAAAATCTAAAGATTTGTGTGTATTTGACGCCTAAGACTTAACAACATTCTTTATTCACTTAGTCCTTCAACCTAACATTTAAAACAAAATGTTAATAACAAACCTGAATCGAGACTGCACATGATAAGAGACCGCAAAGCACTCATAACATCCATTCTTAAATCTTCACGGTCGCTCAAAGCTGTTCCTAATGTCTTTGCAATGCCTTGGAAACTCTGAAAGGTAGAGCCTCTGGTTATTATAGTCATCATTTCAACACAATTCTTTCTGTCCAAGGTGTTTACAAGCAGGTACTAATATCTTCCAAGACTGAAAGTTATATTTGTTTTCACAAAAGTCACCATGTTGTGTAGTAGCCATGTCGAGGAGTAACTATGTTGGGTAGAGGTTGAAATTTTTATTTCACGTCTGGCAGAACAAAACAATTGCCTAACTGTGATTACTGCATCTATGAAAAATTTTGCTTACATAATTTGGCAGATTCTCAATACCAAAAAAAAAATTAATAAGTCTTTCAATCATATGGAATACTGTATACTTTTAAAAATATTATTTCCCTCACATAAAGCTTTGATGGAGCAACTTTGGAGATTATACCATTTTTTTTAAATGAGCTTTTTCTATTCCAGAGGAACATTAGGGATATGATGAAAACTGATAGTTTTGTGGGGACACTGTCAACATCATGTCCACTGGGCATATCTGATACCCATTTTAGTGTAGGACTACCAGGGTGCCATGGTCAGTTCCACAAACATCTACCTCAATGATGACTTGTAGATCAAGACAAGCATGCTAACAGACAATGGTCTAGCCGCTACAATACTTAACTCCAGAAGATTAAACAATCTCACTGGTTTCACATGCAGCCACATTAGTGACAAGATCAGTTATCCTGCACAAAAATAATGGAAAAGTAAGCTATTATAATTAATTACACCCCCTCAACACAACTGTAAAGGAGATACATTATATTAAAAAAAGTATATCTTCCTCAGAGAAGAAAATCAAATTTTTATATATATATAATGGTAATGCCATGAAAGGGACCACACAAACCTGTTTTAAGTCTGTGGGATGATCACAGAAGCCTTTCAGCATAGACCAAATCTGCAGCTGAAGTGTTTCATATGCTTTAGACTTTGCAATCTGATTGTTTCTGGCACTGACCTCAGCTGTGTGGTTGGGCAAAGGCAAAAAAAAACATGATATAACCTGAGCAGGTTACTCTCATACAACATATCTTTACATTTAACATTGATTTCTACATTGCATATTATAGACAGATGTTAAATTAAAACCCTTTGTCCTAACTGCTAGAAGAAATCTCTTCCCAGACATTAATATTCACAGATTTATTTTAAAGTCATGGCGATCTGATATAATAAGGGGCATAATCAACTGTACATGTAATATGTATATCTACTTTTGTGTGCCTTAAATTCCACGTGTTTGAAAAACACAAATGCAAAATCCCAGAATATGGGATGACATGTATCAGAAATGCAGTGGAAAGAACAAGAGAATAGAGTCATCTACGACAAAATAAGAGCAGTTGTAGGCAGATGATCGGCAAATAATTTCACAGAACCTCAAATGGTTTGGTCATCTGGTCAGAATGGAACAAATTTAACCAGCAGCTAGAGCCTACAAAAGGACAACAGCAGGTTACAGGATAAAATGTGGACCAAAAAGAGACAGGAGTAAAAAAAAAAATTCCATATGACATCACTTCTACTTCACTCCACTTATCACTCTGGTTGGCCTTCTCTTTCCAGCTGGTGACATCAAGTGTTTGCAGGTCTGTCTGGACATTATCTCTCCATGATCTTCTTGGTATGACTCATGGTCTTACGACCATTCAGCTCCATTGAGTATACTTTTTAACCTCTCTGTCATCCGACATTCTCTCAATATGCCCCAGCCATTTTAAACTATTAGCTCTCATGATGCCAGTGAAAGTGGTGATTAAAACAGATTATGATTTTCATTGTTGCTTCTCTCTCTCCACTGCCAAATGTTTGCATCTTTGCTGCATCTCCGTGCTGCTTTACAGCTTAAGCAGTAGGACAAAAGAAAAAGAATTCCACACCTTGCTTAGATATACATGACAGAAATAAAGATAAGCACTGGATGTTCCAGTAAAAAAATATATTTTAAGGTTTTGTGGGTTTTTCTACATGCCATAAATTTTCACATCACTGGAATTCTAAACTGCAGTTCCTTGTCTCTCTCAATTTTCAGTACCACAAGGACCCCAAAACAATCAATAAACACATACCTATGTTTTTAAACCTGGCGGCCAATGGGAGAAAATACGATGTGAAGAAGCCAAGTTCTGTGTGAGTTATGTTGTCTCTGATGACGGGCAGAAGCCATGCTCGGGGGAATTCTAAATTGTCGCTGCAAGTATAACATGACATAAAACACTGTAAAGGGGAGTAAAAAAACTATTCTTAGGTCCATGTGTTCTCTAGAAGGCAATTGTGAAAGTTATCTACTTGTTCGTAATAAAGGTGAACTTTTACAAAGTTCATAAAGTCATCTTATATGCAAAGAAGGTAAACTTTCACAAAGTCAAAACAAATTTGTGTGCAATAAATGTGAACCTTTACAACATCATGCCAAATCAACAATTTTTTTGTTTTTGTTACAAATACACCACATCCTAGAGTTTCATACATACACACACCTTTTTTTTTGACTACTGAATTGCTTACATTTGTAAAAAGTCTAAAGATTAATAAAAAGATTTCAAATTAAATATATTTTTGTTTTTAGTTATATGTTTCATGCATTGAAGTTGAAAATTCACATTCTAATTTTCTATTTTTATATGTGCAAATTAGATAATTTGCAAATACATCAATTAATTTTAACGATATTGTGAAAATCATGAACTTCAATCTATATCCTTTAAATAGATACATTATTTCATGGGGGTCAGAATGTGTAAAAAAAAAAAAAAAAAAGTTATAACCAGATTTACTGAAAAAATGTTCCGTGTTTTTGGCTAGACATATGAAAAACTTCCCGTGCTAAAAGGGTTAAGTGAACGAACTGGTGGAGAAAGTAGAAGAGAAGGAACCGGTGCAGAGAGGAGAAGGGAAGGAACTGGTGGAGAGAGGAGAAGGGAAGGATCTGAAAGGGGAGGTGGGAAGGAGAATCTCTGCTTTCATTAAATCAGGTTTGTGGCTTACAGGAGGAAGATGTGCTGGGTGATGATGAATGAGCATAAAGGAAAAAGACAAACTCAGAAAGAAAACAGGAAATGTTATGTTGCGAGTTAATAGACATATGCATATATTAACAGTGAAGTAGCTGTTTACAAATAGAAAAACAAAATTACACACTTATACAAACTTACTGATCACCCGTAATGCCCAAAGGAATTGCTTTTAACACCAATCGTGGCCCCATGGCCTTCACTGCACTGCCAATGGCATGGTCCATCTCCACCTTGTAGGAGAAGTGAGGTGTGTCACGAAGGTCGCCCATTGATGACAAGCACTGTAAGATACAAGAAGAAAATGCACATGCATACACACACACAAAAAGCAGATTGAAGTATAAAGTTTCAATAAATAACAAAGGGATGTTGCTACCAGCAAATGATGCAACAAAAGTGGGGGGCATAAAATGCTCAACCCATATTACCCTTATACAGGGTGTCCCATAAGTTTTCATACACAGGAAAAATAAACACATCACTAATGCCATTACAAGAAAAAGTCTAGCTGTACTGGTATCATGGGATAAAAGGAAAGAACTGAAACATTAAGAACCCAGGTTACATGCCATTCAGACAAACCTCCACCCCTATGTTGAGTTTTCTAGTAAAATGTTATGTTGTATTTAGCACTTCCTATAAACTGGGGGCAAATTTACATCTAAAAGTGGAATAATACTTTTCCTATGCCTGTCCTAATGCTTTGGGTTCCAAAACGCTAGTTGCATATCATATATGTGACTGCAAAACAACCAGCATTTGCTGGCTATTTGTGATTTTATTAGGCAGTTTTATAGTCAGTAGTTTGCCAGCGCTTTCTGTAAGTCTGTAAGACAAGTGCTCTATACCATTATCTAAATCAATGAAAATCAGTCTGCTGCCAAATCACCTGCAACTTAAATCAAACCAAGTATTTCAGGATTACAAACTGCTTTCATAACCCTAAGCCACAAATCCCCCCCCCCCCCCTGCTTTTCATTTTCCAGTCCATACAGTGCAGAATTGGTCATCTCATATCTGTCCACCGACTTTTCTCTTGTGAATTGTCAATCATTTCTGATACAGATATTCCTATATACCATGATGCCACACTATAACATCTCTCTTGATTTCCCTATGTCTTTCTTCCTTTTGTATGACATAGTCATTTTTCAATTCGTGCGATGGCCAACATTTCTTAGTCCGACCTCAATTAGTTTTAATTAAAATCTTGTACTAAATGTGAATAATCTACTATATGCACCTATGTTTAGCTCCATCTGATATTCGCTGCATTCATCTATTTGAAACATTATTTTAAACATAATTAAATTACCTTGAGCAGCATTTCTGGGATGATTTTGCCAACAGCCTGTAAAGTTATAAAAAAAAAGGAATGATAATCTCTTCATAACTAGCATTTTCTTTTATATATGAAATGTAAACGATAGTTTGTTGTAGATAAACAATAATAAGATTCATTGTGAAGTATCACTATAGTGTATCTAAATTATTTAGGCATTTTATCTCTATTTCAAACGTCTTCTTGATCCTTCTGTTATAAAATTTACATCAGGAGTCCAGTAGAGTGAAAGCTATCGTGCAGTCCAGAATTCCCTGCGTAAAGCTTTTCTTCACTGAGGCTGGAAAAGGCCAGACAGACTGTGCCTCTGCTGGCAGCATACAGCTGACAGTATTGGAGTACAACATGCTCAACATTTTTTAGAGTCAAGTTGCAAGGATGCGTCTATATGTTTTCTACACCAAAATATTTGAACATATATTGGCAAAGTATGCTGGGCCATGTCCTCAGTCTGAATATAAGATATAAGACACTGTCGTTTTCTAGATAGGATGAAGTGAGTCTTAAGAAGATATTAAAATAACAATGTGTTCAAGCAAATTAACAACGTTAATGTAACCAGTATGTAAAACAAGTTAATCGAGTTAAAATACTTATACTTACCAAAAAGACAGTGGACCATAACTGGAACACTAAACCCCACATGGAATGAAATTGGTAGCTCAAGCCTGTCTCTAGAGACTTCATCACTTTCTGCAGCGCAGTCACTGTCTGACTGTTGGCCTTTTTTGCCAAGATGACTTCCTTATTTGGTTCCAAACACTCCAAGAGTAATGCCTGCAAAATAGTTTGCAACGTATCAGAAAACACAAACAAAAGAAATACATAGCTATAATCTGTATATAAGAAACAAAAGTTAACAAATACTCAAGCTACTGTTTACCAAATATACACACCATTTGTGTTCAACTGATAAATTAAATTCATTTTAGTATAGCCATTATTGAAATTTTTATACAAGGGAAAGACATTTTTTAAGGAAAATTAACAGCTTTAAAAATACAACTTGTCCTCCAGTCGACTTAATACCCATATTATTCACCATAAGAAACACAGTGAAGCAAGAGAAAATACTAGAACATAAATGCAGAAAGTACACTATGAGAAAATCATAGATCCAAGTATACATATACAGCAAAATATCTTTTAAGACAAATTCCAAGGAACCAAAAAACGGAGGGGGTTGTGTTTAACACATGCTTGCTAACCACGGACTAACACATCAATACTAACTGCAGGGACAAAAATTGTGTTCCTTAAAAGAGCGTGTGTCTCAAGTGACTTCATGCTAATGAGGTTGTACTCTGTGTGTGTGTGTACACGCACAAAGGCTGAGCATACACTACAGCAGCCTCAACATTATTCTCTTATCAGATGTGAAATGTTTAACAACCTTCATGGTGGCAACTGCCGCCTTAGCCACATCATGTCGGTCCGAGAGAAGGCATGTCATGCATGTGGAGAAGAGGCGTGGTAGATGGTTAATACCCAGCTCTGCATCCTGGCTGAAAAGAGAAAACAAAAGATATGAAATAAAATGTCATCACAGCACTCACAACATTCATTTAACTCTCACACTCTCCATCGTCAGCAGCCATAATGGTACAAGTGGCAGTTTGATCATGTCCATCTCGCCTTTCCTTTAAGTGTTAAGTACTGACCAGAACCCATGTTTACTCCCCGCAGCAACATTCCCTCCAAAACTAACAGCCTATTCACTCCTCCACTATTTACTTGATCCTAGAAGAATGAGAACACTTTTACTGTAAATAAAATAAAAAATCCCACTGAATATGACAAGGCTGCAATGCATCTGAAACAAAAATGCTTGCTTACCTGGCCAAATTGACTGCTGCTGCCTCCATCACTTTGAGCCATGCAATCATAGGCTGGCCATCCTTCTCTGATGGTTGGTAGTCATATAATGCCTGAGCAAACAAAGGCCATATATGAAGTAAAACATATGATTCATTCAGTCCTATTACAGAAATAATTTAACACTAAAATGCAAATATGAAAGAGGTGGGGGGGGGGGGGGGGGGGGGGGGGAGAGAAGAGAACAGTGTTTAGGTATGATTACCTGCCCCTTCTGCTTCATCAATATCATATTTGCAAAACATGTGGTGTCATATTCGCAATTCCCAGAAAAAAAAAGTATGTTTAGAAATATAAGGAAAACACTCTCTGAGCCAAGTCTGTGTAGTCAGTTTAATGTTAATAAACTTTTAATACTCAAAAAGGGAGCTGCGGTAGTCTAGCAGCTAGAAGCTGGCCTGAGGAGCGGAAGGTTATGTGTTCGGGTCCTGACACTAGCTTTTTTTTCTCTCCAAAAATCACCTTGACTCCTAGATCGACCCAGCCTTGTGTGGGTACCAGGTGTAGTTCTGGAAAGTAAAGGCGGCTGGTATGATGCTGACCACATCACCCACCAAGTGTTGTTTGGCCTATAAAATATAGGTCTAGCCCTATTTACCCAATATGACTGAAGGCGTGGAAAAGGGTTCTTTACTTAACTTTAAGACTCAAAAGGCTAGCAAAAGAAACAATCAACAACAAACAAGACCTTGAAGAACCCAAACTTACTGTTATAATCTGGCCATTCATGTCAGCAGGCATGATCTTAGAAGTTGGCTTGGCAGTAAATAATCTATGTAGTACCTCCATACAAGTAGAACGAACAACCTGAGAAATACAGGAGAAATATACATCATATAATAAATGCCACATTCATATAATTTAGTGATGAGAATCTGTGTGAATTTCTCACAGCATTTACAGCACTATGAGGTGAAGCAACAAGTTTCTTTTTATATTCTCCATCATTTCTTGTCTTTACCTTTATATGGTCATGTAGCAGTGTGTTGTACTTTACAACTAGGCAGTGATATATGTGCCTTTCAGCCCAACAAATTTGCCTTTTTTTTTAAAAAATCAATCATCTGCCTTTTATGACATGACTGTTTGTTCTCTCTTCTTCCCTATCTCCTCAATGAGGCCTGAGAATCTACACATATACATAGTATTGTCCAACATTCCAAAGTATCACTAGAATCCATTATATAAGTCTGTATCTGCAACAACAAAAACCCAACAATAAACCATTTAAACTAGTACATAACAACAAATTGTCTGATGGGAAGCAGCCCACCATCACAGTTCTCATGCAAATTGTTGATTTTTATATAATGTAGACTTCACAAGAGCTATAGTATTCTGGTGTTATCACTGGCCATTTTCATAAATCATCAACCTTCAGCAGCTGCTCTAGTCAGTTTTATACAGATGATGTTGCAGTAATGAATTCTACAAACACAAAGTGAAAAATAACGACACACCCATAAAACAAAACAAAATAAACCCATAATGCAGAAACATGGCAAAACTGACCCATTAAACAGAAGCAGGATAAATACTGGCCCATCAAAAAAGTAACTGTTTATCAAGAAAAAAAAAACATTCACTAAGATGTGTACATCATACTCACCAAATCTGTTAATGTCATGATCTTTAACAGAGATTCACACAAAGACTTCACATTGGAGTGCGGACACAGACTGAGGATGTCCTTCAGTAATGACAGTATGTGTAGAATTTCAACTTTACTTGATGGTCCTGCAAACAGTATAACAGAATAATCTTACCAAGTGTATTGTAAAGAACTAAAATAAGTACAAAATAAAAAACAAAAATCATTTTCTTCAATACACTGTCTGACCACAGAAGTCTTAAATTAACTAAGTGATCTTTTTGCTGACATTTTAACACAGATTCTTTTTTTTTCATTATTTAAATTTTTGATTAGAAAAGTTTAAAATGTTAATACAACATTTACAAATAAATGTACATTCTCTCTTAAATCCTACCTTTGGATGACTCAATCAATTTGAGGCAATGCTGAGCTGTGAGCGGTGCGGCTGGATGAAATGGAGGAGCCGGTGTCTGCTGCATCAACAAACTGCCTCGCAAAACTATTTTCACTGCTGTGTGGGCAGCTTTGCGCAGCTGAAGAAAAATATAAAAAAACACCCAAGAAAGACCTCAATAGGTGATCAAACATTTCGCTAGTAATGAGTTTCAAAATATATCATCTTTTTCTTAGCATTCACTGACTGTAAACTCAGACAGAAAGAAAACTCTGGTTGTTCACCCGCTTTCTGGATTTCAGTCTTGTTACAGAACTTACATCTTGTATACACATGCATTGTACACATCTGGCTTATTTCTATGCAGACTGTTGGCTCCTTGCCTCTCAGGCAGAGACATTTCAACTTCAAATTGGTCACCTTTTACAACATGCTTGTTAGGAGGGACAGGTCTATTTTTTTCCCTTGATTCCCATAGGACCTACACTGGTGCACTGGGATAATAATATTCAAACATCCCTGTGTGGGTTTCGGGGCCCCATCGTGAGGAAAACAAGAATAGACCCTCTGCCTACCCAAAAGTATATCCTAAGAGTAGACTAATTGGGAGCTTCCTTTGAAGTCGGAGTGCATTTGCCTCAGAGTCAAGGAACCAATCAGATCTGTAAAACTGATGCACATGCAACAGAAGTGAACGAACGAACAACCAGAACTTTTCACCAGAGTGTACAGCTGGTGAACGCGAAGAAGAAGAAGAATATTCAAACAACAAAAAATATTATAGTGGAAAGGGACAAGGAAGAAATATTGTTTAAATGCCAGGTCAATAAGGCATAAAAAACATTCAAATTAAAGCAGACAATGAATAGATAAAATCTCACATAAATTTAAACAAACGTTTGGAAACAGAATTAATATTTTACTTTCTTGAAGTTAAAGGACAAAATACCTTTGGTTTTCTATGAGAGACAAAGGCCAGAAGTGCCCTATATGCATGTTCTGTTGACGGTTCTGTCCATCTGTTGACATCCTGAACACGAAGAAGACTTGCTAAACATGACAGGGCCTGTCAAGCAACAGACAAATACACAAATAAATTAAATTTTCTTGAAATGAAATAATTGTTTTTTTTAAAGACTAATTATGGTGGAAGTAGCAAACACATCTATTGATGCAGATTTTACTTTCAGTTATGTGACACTCAAACAAATCGCTCACTACCACATGGCAAAATTGTTTCTATACATTCCATACAACAGATACACAATCAGTGTCACTGGACCTTTAACAGAAGCAAACAGTAGTAACATTGCACCCTACCAGGCATGCTGCAAGAGGCAAACAAGTAGGTCTGGGCTTGGTTACCACATTCTGTATACTATAGCCACAAACATTTACTAACTATGAACAAGTGTGAAAACAGGACTAGTGACTGCAATGAATAGGACAACCTGGAAACGGTAAATGCTTCACTGGGAGTGAAACAGCAAAAATAGAATCTAGTTGTATTATTACAAAATATGAAGATATGTTCTGATATCTGTAATTCACATACCTACAGCAATATTACATATTCTTTCTATTTTAACTAATTTTCATGCTAAATACATAATAATATACACTAAAGGAATCAATCATTTAAAAAAAAATATGTTTAAACAGAATAAATGAAAAATAAGTGAAAAATTTCAACAATAAATCAGTTAACAGGTGAAAACTAACTTACAGCTTTCAGAGGAGAAAATGTCTCCTGCTTGACACAATCTGTGATGACATCTAACAGTACCTTGACCACTTGTGAGAATCGGCTTTGTAGAACAGCTAGCGGGACTCTAAAAACATTTTTTTAAATCAATTAGTAAATGCACCAAAATTATCCACAGACAAACCATCACTTTGTTAAGCCACAAGTAATATACCTCAGCTATACCACAGGCAAACCATCACGTTGTTTAGCCACAAGTAATATATCCCAGCTATACCACAGACAAACCATCACTTTGTTTAGCCACAAGTAATATGTCCCAGCTATCCCACAGACAAACCATCACTTTGTTTAGCCACAAGTAATAAATCCCAGCTATACCACAGACAAACCATAACTTTGTTTAGCCACAAGTAATATGTCCCAGCTATCCCACAGACAAACCGTCACTTTGTTTAGCCACAATTAATATATCCCAGCTATACCACAGACAAACCATCACTTTGTTAAGCCACAAGCAATATATCCCAGCTATACCACAAATCTTTTAACTGTGTATACTCATCATCAGTATAGTATTGTGACCCAAGTTCTCGCTTCATCTTTTGTCCTACTGTTTAGACCATAAAGAGGAGTTATATGTAGTTTCCTGTCTTAAGTTGCGTAGCCTGTGTTGATTAAATGTAATATTGTGTTCCTGTAGTACCTCTTTTACTCCTGTCATCCATCTCTTGACCCCTAAAATCAAAGCCAACTGGGATACATAAGAAAATTAATTGGCCCAATAAAATGTTGAAGACTGTTGTGGTTCATTTATCTGAACAATAGACAGCACAATTTATTGCCTGGCATATTTCGCTGTATCCCGTCAGGTGCATACTACAGTAACAAGTGATTAAAATGAAGTAAATAGCTGAATCCTAGAAACTGAACAACAAATTCGAGTACATTCTACACTGTCTGTTTCACCAAGGTAACCTTAAGGAAATGACCATTTCTTTCTGCCTACAGAGATCTGGTTTCAACCGACTGATCGCGGAAGCTTCCGCGTTCATTTATCTGGCCAAATTACTTAACAAAATTCTACTGAATGGTTTGTTTTTAAAAAAAGTTCACACACAAAAGAATCTTGAGTTCTGAAACATAGTTTGCACACACCCCATTACACACTAAAGCACACAAGTTTTAGTCATTGGTGCACTAACAATAATATAATCCTCTGTTCAGCTATTTTTAAGATTCTCTAATTCTAAACCTACATTTCCAGAATTAGGAAGCATATACAACAGAGATGAAATACCTTAGAAGAGCTGCAGGAGTTTCAAGGAAAGACAGAATATGAAATCATGAAATCAGACGAATGCTAGGAATAAAGCCAGTCTTACAGGTCATCAAGGAACAACAAATGAAGTGGTTTGGACACCTAACAAGAATGCCCTGGTACTATCTGCCACAGCGAGCCACACTAAAACGTTACAACGGGTATAGAGCAAGTGGAAAACCTTGGAAAAGATGGAGTGATGGCATTAGGAACAACCTTACAGAAAGGAACATCAGTCTAAATAGTGCTCTTGACAGAGCTCATCAACGAACATTACATCTCCCCCTGACACTTCGATGAGGTACAAGGTGGAAGAGAAAAAGAAGAAGATAACGACTGTTTCTTTGATTGTAATTCTGATATGTATACAAACAGTATAAATATTTCAGTTGCTGTTTGTAAGAGTAAAGCAATTTCACATCTGCTTACTTCTTTATAACAATGCTCAACAAATGAGCCATTGCCATTTTTGTATCCGTTTTATCTGCCTCTTGCAAACTTGACACCTGAAACATGAAAAGGGTTACAAAAATTTTAACATTTAAATCGTCAACAAATAAAAGCGGGTGAAGGGGGCATGTGGTAAGGTCAGAACAATGTGCATGCAAGAGGTCAACTGATCACCCCCAAAACAGATTATATCTGGCTGCTCGTCAAGGTTTCTTGATCTTGATCTAAAATTTCACGTCTCATCATGTAGCATTAAACTGAAACTTTAGACAGCGCATCCGCATAGCCCACTTCAGACTCTTGACTACGGATGGTCAATGAATGTAGAAAGGCTAGCTCAGGGTAATACAAGTTGTAAAAAACAACAACAGCAGCAACATGGTTCTCATGCTATTATCCAATTTCTAATGACACAGTAATTCAATTTAAGCATAACAATGGGACCAGTACTATTGGCTGAACTGACACTCTTATTTCTACTGTTGTTGCTGCTGCTATTATTACCACTTTTTCTCAACCCCATGTGGAATTGCCACATTATAGTTGTCAAGACCAGGAATGTCAAACTAAGGGTTCCCTAAGGACCACATGATTCACATCTTGGTCATCAAGAAAGCTATATAAGGCAGCCAAACTGAAGTAATTTAAATAATGATTATTGCAGAATATTTTCTTTGTGTGGGTTGCATGCAGCACTCCAACCTTAGTAAGGTTTAAGATACTTTCTGCCTTAGGCAAAAATAAAATCCTAACAGACACAGACCATGGGAGTCGCTGTGGCAGAGCGGCTAGACGTGCGCCGCGGATCAGAAGGCCGTGGGTTCGCTCCCTAGCGGAGCCAGACTTTTCTTAAAAAACGACCTGGGCTCACAGGTCGACCCTGCCTTGAGTGGGTACCGGGTGCCATCCTGGGAAGTAGAGGCGGCCTGCGTGATGCTGACCACATCAGCCATCTTGTGCCGATTGGTCTATAAAAATACAGGTCTAGGCGTGAAAAATGGCCCTTTACTTTTATTACCTTTACTTACATAGACCATGGTGACAGTAAAAGATAAGTGGGCTCAAGTCTTTTGCAAGATCCTGCTGCCTACACCACAAGTTGGAAATACAGATGGCAATTGCAGCGGTTATACCTTAGAATTAGATAATGACTGTGCTTATACTCATATTTATCATAAACCTCACAAAGACTAGCTGGATGTAAACGTTAAAAAAAAGGTTAATTTAAAAAACCAATATATCAAGCAGTCATTTTTGTTCAACATAAATTTAAAAAATCTATTCACATTTTTTTTTTATTTCATTACAACAAGGATAGGAAGATGTAGCAACCGTAAAAAAAGAATGTTATCTACAAGAAATAAATTAACAGCAGCTGGTCAGAAAGTACTTATAAAACAAACAAAAACGGATCTATTTAGTGTAAACGTTTTAGAAAACTACAAACTGAGCCTTACCAGAACACCAAAATACTGGACATCTTTGCCCTCTCCGCCTTTCTCTTTGATAACTTCTGTTACAGCTGCCAAAACAGCTAAAATCTGTGGAGAAATTACAAACCACTTAATGGTATACAAGGTATAATAATCACAGACAATAATGCCACCAAGCTGCCGTGTTTATTTATTTCATGATTCCCTTCCGCAAACATTCCTTTCTAAAACATTTCGGAAACTTGAAGCCATTTTATGAAGCTAAACTAACCCCAGATTCACTTTCAAAAAATTAAATTGCCTACAACTGCCCTGGACCGAACCCAAACCTGTTTTGACAGGCTTGCTTTATAACCACCATGACTCAGGAAATTTAGCAATGGCTAAATTTTAGAATTTTTACAAAAACAAATTCCAAAATTTAGGTTTAATATACACTAATACTCTTCTTATCTACATAAGCACACTCAAATATACATGTTTCACGCCTTTTCTTCTTCTTCGTGTGATTGCTTCCCTGGTTTATACAGACACAGATGAGTTCTTGAGATAAAGCAGACTGTTTTAGATGTTCTGTTATCGATGTTTCAGGTGCTTTTATAGCAGAGAAGGAATGTTAACAAAATTAACTGAATACAGCCTTCTGAACCCTGAGCATATTCTCTTAATACTAACATATGGGGGGAAAAATGGAAACCTAAAGCACAAACAGCTTCAAGCTATGATTTATTTATGTCTGAAATTTCTGATTTTTAAACCATGCAGATCATTTTAGGTGGTGCAACGTTGATGCTAAATGGCACTAGATAAATATGTATATTTATAGTGTTTATACATATACTTACTTACTTAGTCGCTCCTCTTCTACCTTGGGGTGTAGAGGTTTGCCATAGAGATAGCCAGATGTCTCTATCAGCAGTTTTCTTTCTGGCTTTTATACATATACACTCACTTTAAATAACAAACCCTTTCTGTATTTTGTGTGTTTCTTATAAATGAAGTGTCAACTCCTCCCAAACCGTGACCAATATAGGGTTTACATTTTCATTTTAATGGTCACATTGGCGACCTAGGTTAATGTGCATTTCTTTATATATTGCGACAAATAGTGAAAGTAAAATTATATCCCTCTGAATGTACTTTCTATTACTTCCCCTGAAAAAGGGTAATTTTTAAAAAGTATACTGCGCTGTTATCTTCCTTAAAACAACAGATCTTACAATTATCTCCCGTTTACATGTATTATCTGTGTGGCCCAGGTACCCTTCAGCATCAGAGATTTGTCATTATCAACTAGCCCAGTTCATGCAGCGTTGATATCTGCTCTGTCCATGCCTCTTCCTGTATGCAGTAGTGCACTGCTTGCCAGCTAGTCCCCCACAATCATTACCTTTTATGCTGCCATAATGAGTTGTCTAGATTTTCAAATGCTTTATATCCATTCATTATACTACTCAATCATGTTCACGGTGTCACCCGTGGCTGCTTGTTTTGCTACCCGTGCTAATGCTCTGGAAGCAGCATTTATCTCTATGGTTGTAAGCCCCAGTATAATCTTTTATTGTTTTCCCATCCTTTGTATGCCTATGACTGTGTAGGATGACAATGATAATAAAACAACTCTTCAAAGAGCCATTTTGAGCAGACACGTTTAAGGCAAGTGATCAGGTGACAGACACTGATACAGGGGGGGGGGGAAGATTATATGAGTGATAGATAAAAAGCAGTCTATTTGAGTATATATCCAGGGCAAAAGATAGCATATTGGAGATTTACTGCAGCAACTGTCACTGTGGAGAAGCTACCTGACTGACTGAATAATATCTTAGCGTATTAGCCATGATAAAAACTAAAACAGCAAAACAAAAGCAATTCAAACCTCTTTCTGTACAGAAGAGCTTGAATTAATGTACCGATGGACACGATTAAATGTAACATTGGTGCATCCTGTCAGGTTTGTGGCCCAGGTATTAAAAGTTGTTCCTCCTATGGATGCGGCATCATCTTGCAATGAAGCTTCAGTAAATTCTCCTATTGCAGCATTGTGCTTCTCCAGAGCCTCCAAAGTAAGTCCACTCTGTGAACCTAAAATGCAGTAACCTGATTAATAATTTCTGCCGCATCCTTTCAAATAAAATAATGTATAAATATAAAGAGGCACAACCATGGCTACTATGCACATTATTCTGATGTGTAGTTGATACAAGCCTGCAACAGGGACAATAAGTAGCCACATCCTTTGTTATCTGCGGGAGCACAGAGCTCTCATGGGCTGATTTCAAATTAATTTATCATCATTAACGCAAAATTAAAAACTGCCTTGCATCTAAATAAGGAGAATTAATTCTTTAGCCACTCATTTATTTGTCACCACGTATAAAGGTACTCTTTTTTCCCTAGCAATGTTTCTCTGTTGTGAATCTGAACAAAAACAATAGATTGCACAAATTACTGCCCGGTATATTTCGCAGTTTCTTGTCATGTGCATACTACAGTAACAAATACATTAATTCAGCAAATAAGTAAATTCTTTATAACTGAAGTATAAATTCAGCAATAATCAACAACTGTCTGTTTTATCAGGGCAGCCGCAGTGTCAGAATCATATCTTTTTGTCTATAGAGTTCAGGATGCAGGTAATGAATCGTAGCGGCAGCGAAAAATCTTAGCGTTCTGCCACTGGCTGATGTGTGAAGGATTTGAAATGCATTGTCCCTGGTTACAGTGTGTCCAGATTTTAAAAGGTGGCGTGCTATTGCAGAGAAATGGTCTTCTTTGTTCATACTGTTGTTTATGCCAGTGGCATACCAGGCAAGACTCGTATTTTTAGACCAATGGCATTCAATATGTGATATAGTCAACATAATGCTGGCTACTTTCCCAGGACATTATTATTCAATGTAACTCGGGCCATTACCTGGTAACTGTGTATATTTATACTTGAAAATAATAATGATCAAAGCATTTTGTTTTTAAAGCAAAACCATCCTATTTTAGCCTTAAGATTGGCTTACAGGTTTTCCTACCAACGAATCAGATTACTTCTCGCATTTCTTGCACATGTGGGCTGTTCATTGACAGCTTTGAGAAATTTTGATATGTTTGGTAATTTTTCATCCATTTTTGTCTGGGGTTACCTGTGTCTAACAATCGCGAAAAGGGCTGTTGCAACCGAAACATAGCTGGAGGCAGAAATATGAGTAGAACCATGTTCCAGTAGTGTCTGAAGTGCCTTCAGGGCCCTTAATTCTCAAAACACATGTGTTAGGACTTATTCAAGCTTTGTCTACCATACAATTCACCCAAATTTTGTAGATCAGTCATATTTGTTCCCAAGTTTGGAAAAAATGCTTGCATAAATTATGCAAATCAAAATAGTTAATTTAAATAAATTTTGAGATTTCAGTTTGATTCATAAATATTCTGTCAGCTCATTCAATTTCTTACACAAATATATATATATTACATTACATATTGTTTTTACGTCCTATTTGCTCAGTCGGTATTGGTGTGTTTTAGTGCATATCCGCACACACGACAATATATATATATATATATATATATATATATATATATATATATATATATATATATATATATATATATATATATATATATATATATATATATATTGTCGTGTGCGGATATGCACTAAAACACACCAATACCGACTGAGCAAATAGGACGTAAAAACAATATGTAATGTTGTTAGGGAATTGTAATCTAGGGATTCAGGGATAAAAGTTTGGAGGAGACAGACGTGTGGTCGTGTCTCAATAGATCCTTGAGGAAGTTATACCCCAGGATTCTACGTAGTAACATCAGGCGAGAGCTGGTACATTGATTATTGCGTTCGGCAGGAAGCCGGAATATTTATAACTAATGGATCCTCAGCCGAATCACTGCCCTGTTATGTAGTATATGACTGTAGAAGAGGAGATCGATGTGACCGTCTAGACTCTCAAGGTCGTACTGTTGACCCGTTGTTTGAAGATGTCATTTGAATTTCTCTGGACGAGTATGCGTGCGATAGCGAGTGATGAATGTTTGGGTGAGTCATCACCATTTAACAGATTATTTGCAAATTTTCTCATTTTGGATCAAAGTGTTTGTCAACACACCAATTGGATACCCTCTACATGGCCTTCAGCATTTAACTCCCGGAAGTTGATTGTTAATGTGTAGTTATAGGCTTCCTGTTTCATCACTGGATTTGATCTCTGACTGTTCTACCACACTTAGCTGGTGGCATTGGTGGAAAAGGGACCTACGCCGCTCGGCATCCGGTGGCGCACATTTCAATGGGAGCCAAGCACATTCCAACGTCACACATTTCATATATATAGTTTTGAACACATTTATTAAATGCTTAATTTGTTTGTGTATAAACTATGAGAATCCCCTCCTAAACGCTTCATCTTTTTGGCACTGAAACTCCAAAAAGGCTCAGTCTCCAGAGGGTTAATAAAAAGCTGTTTGTTTATTGTGACAGTTCTTTAGTACTACACTGTACGCGGCCAACCCTAATACTGATGTGTATGACTCCCTAATGTCCATGCATATTTTTTTTTAAAGCAGAAGTACTTGAGCATGGCTCATTTAAGCTCAGTGTCTGGAGCATAAAAGCCCTTCAGCCTCAGTGGCACGCACACGGTTAAAATCTGGGGGAGTATGCAACTTTTCTGCCATTCCACGACTCAAACCAAGACCGGACAGGCAAAAGGTTTGTGACCCGATGTCCAACGTGCTATTAACTACGCATACAAATAGCATGAATATGAGGCTGACACTATAATCTATAAAAATGAGGTATAGTATTTGTTATACTGACAAACGAAATATTAAGAAAGCATTCTTTTTTCAGGTGCTGTTTAGAGCAGATTCCAGTTATCATGACTCTGCCTGGCGAACAGCTATATACATATGTGGATTGGCCCCCCCCCCACCCCCCCGAGACAATAGACTGTGTCCTTTCAGATTGTCCTAAATACAACACATCATCCAGGCAGAACTTTTGGCCAGTGCATACCAAACTCTGTGGATCACTGTATGAATTTCAAAAGACACTGAAGTTCACACTAGAGAGACAACTGCACACATAGATAATCCATTTTAAGGCAAACGAAAAAGAAAAACTTTTATAAGTTAATACTGGCCACACACAAAAAAGAAAATCGTTTAACCTTTTATGTTGGAATGCCCTTAAACAAAAAGTAACCGCCACTCCCCTGCCTGCAGCATCTTTACCATCACTTTAATCACTGCAGTATTTTTAAATTTAATCACAAACCAAATGAGAAGTGTAAACAACAAATTTACAGGATTATCATTACCCATATGTTAAAAATGGCTCTATACAGCATGCAACTATTTTCTAACGTCCAATGAAAAGGATTTATTGCGTAAAATGTAGTTTTAGACCTGACTGTCTTATTCTTTATCTCTGTGATACACTGCTCGTACTGGTATTTGACTTATTTACGTAGATGTATAAATGTAGGGAGTTAAGATAGTGTTGCATTTGACTGTCACTTCACCTAGCCTAACCAGGATGAGCTATGTATAGTCACTAAAACTAGATATTCTGGGGTGAAGGGGTTAAACCCATTGCATTTGATTAGGATTCCCAGCAACAAGCTTAGTATGTTGAGCCAAATTATTAGGGGATTTTCCTTAGAAGTCGGAGTGAAGTGCCTATCTGCCTGAGAGGTGAGGAGCCAACTTGAGGACGAGGACGACGCTAATCTGCGCCGGAGCACGTGGTCGCCCCGCCATGTCACTTTTATCGTCTGTAATGTTGCACGTCTCGAAATTGTCAATGGTCGCTAGTATCGTATGCAGAAACGCTCGAAAGTGTCAGCGGTCATTATTATCGTCTGCAGTGTTGCGTCTCTTGAAATTGTCATGTAATCCTAGTTTTGCCGCGATTTGTTCACCGCCGGAAGTCTGCATATTTTTAGTAGGACTGAGGCCCTGTTAGGATATTTGTTTGGCCGCCATAATGCCGGGGTAGAAGTTCGGAGGAAAGCCCGTTGGTCATACCTTTTCTCTGAGCCTCGAGCATCTGCCAGAACCTCTCGTCACTCCCCCCTGCATCAATCTCACCAGACTGTGGTGATCCATCTGCTCCTCCGAACTGTACACGCTCTCCCACAAGGCACTAACCATATCTGCCTTATCATGTATTGGTTAGTTTAGTATTGAAGTATTTCACCAAGTTATGCAGAGCCAGCCAGTCTGTCCACCTGTCCATTTCCCACACACTGTCGTGCCCCGGTGAAAAAAACCATACAATACTCCTCACCCATGTCCTCCGCAGCGAGGCATGCCACTCTGCACAAAGCATGCCTGTCCTGATCTTCCTCTGCATACATTCTCAGAAAGTATCTTAGTCAGTGACCATCACGATGTGTGTGTGTGTGAACTGTGTGTGTGTGGCGTGTTCTCAAACCAGCGGACAGCTGCAGTGGTGACTGAGTGACCGCCTCCACCTCCATTAATTTAATTACTCGAGATGAAAATTGAAACAAATAAAATGTTGAACAAGTAAATCAAAAGTAAACATGTATTTTTTTAGAATGGTATTATAATCCTTAAAATGAAATATAAGATGGGGACAAAGTAAAATAAACTTACCCAGTTGTTGATTTAACGTGGCTTTCGTACTCCCAATATTTGGAAAATGTCCACCAACTGCAGAACGTTTCGCTGCTTCCCTAAACTTCTTTACTGTTGGATTACTTGAAGAACTTTTCGGCAGTTTTTTCTTTGACAGCTTCATTTTAGCCTTTGGTTTGGCATTACCAAATTTTCTATTAAATGGCTTATCCTGTTTAGTTGCAACCTTCATGTTTCGGTCTACGTCTGTGTCGCCGACGTCCAAACAAACTCACGTGTTGAGTTGACTTGCCGATGCCGCAGTAAATGCCAGCTACATTGATTGTAAACAGCCGAAGGGTTCGTCGTTTACGCACTTCTCCGCTTTCCCATTTTTACATCACTTCAATAGTGTTGTTGCTGTTGTTGCTGCAGCAACAGAAGCAGTAGCAGCAGCAGCAGCAGAAGGCGCTTCGCCAGAAGAAAATACAGGGAATCTCAGCCCTCCAAAGCCTTGCTCTATAGTAAAAAATTTGCTAGGCATTGAGTCCTTCCTAAAATTAAGAAAACGGCGGAGGTTGTCCACAATAAAGCTCTCCCTAGATCTAGGCAAAAAATTGGGATGGGGTTTTCGGGTCCTTGAGTGCACTCTAATGCATAATTTTCTTAGGATCTAAGTTACTTCTTTACCCATGTATAGAAATTATAATTAAAAGTACTTGTTCGTACATTTAATATTAATTAAAATGTTATATCCAAAAGGTGAGGGGATGCTCTACAGGCATAATAACATAAATAAAAATAGTAATAAGATGCAGAAAAGTAAATAAATATAAATTTGAATTAATATGAAATGTGTCAACAAATACTTTCAATGAGAATTGTTTCATACACGAATAAAATGGAAGGGGTGTGCTTAGCCTTTTTTTTTTACATGATAATACCAAGAAGCCTAGGCCTCACAGGAAACGGCGCCTATGACTACTAGTATTATTATTACTAGTATTACTAGTATTATTCTACAACCACAACTACTACTACTACTACTACTACTACTACTACTACTACTACTACTACTACTACTGCTGCTGCTGCTGCTGCTGCTACTACTACTACTACCACTACTACCATTACTACTACTACTGCTACTACTACTACTACTACTACTACTACTACTACTACTACTACTACTACTACTACTACTACTACTAATGCTGCTGCTGCTACTACTACTGCTGCTGCTGCAACTACAGCAACAACAACGACTACTACTACTTCTGCTGCTGCTACTAATACTACTACCCCTACTACTACTGCTGCTACAAAAACTACTTTTGCTGTTGCTACTACTACTACTGCTGCTACATATAGACAGACAGACAGAGACAGACAGGTATGTAGGTAGGTAGGTAGGTAGGTAGGTAGGTAGACGGACAGACAGACAGACAGACAGACAGACAGACAGACAGACAGACAGACAGACAGACAGACAGACAGACAGACAGACAGACAGACAGACAGACAGACAGACAGACAGACAGACAGACAGACAGACAGACAGACAGACAGACAGACAGACAGACAGACAGACAGACAGACAGACAGACAGACAGACAGACAGACAGACAGACAGACAGACAGACAGACAGACAGACAGACAGACAGATAGATAGATAGATAGATAGATAGATAGATAGATAGATAGATAGATAGATAGATAGATAGATAGATAGATAGATAGATAGATAGATAGATAGATAGATAGATAGATAGATAGATAGATAGATAGATAGATAGATAGATAGATAGATAGATAGAACTTTATTTTCAAAGGGTCACAAATTGGGCACGCAGGCCTGTCTTACATTCGGCCCTTCCAGTCAACCATCTTTCGCACAGCAGTTGTATTTTACTAATAAAGCATGTTATGATCATATGATGTTATGCATATTATGAATATTATAAAATAACACAAAAGCATGAGTTGTAAAGTGCATGCAAAAACCCGCTCGTGCATACATACACCCACATACACACGCTCACCCAATCACTTACACACACAAACATGCATGCATACATTACATACATACACACACATACATACAAACATGCATACACACATACACACAGGCATACGTACACACAAACATACATACATAGATACAAACATACAGGCATACATTCATACATACATAAGTAATACAGGCATACACACATAGTCCTAAATACAGTCATGCATGGAGACACACACATGCACAAACGGACACTCCCACCGAGACACACACACTCAGACAAAAATACAGACACACACACAGACACTTACATATAAACACACACAGGGAAACACACAGCACACATATTTACATTCGTGCTCACACACTGACACACACACCACACATACGCAGACAAACATGCAGACACATACATACAGCCACATAGACACACACGCAGTCAAACACACACACACACACAAATACACACAAACAGGCAGACAAACACATACTGACACCCACAGAGACAAACACGCAGAAATGCATACACATACAAACACATAGAAATACACACACAGACACATATATTCAGCACGCACAGACATATACTCTGACATGCAGACACATACAGACAACAAAGGGGCACACACAACACACACAGAGAAACACACATAGACATGCACAGACAGACAGACACATGCTGACACGTACACTCACGCAGACAGACATAAAGACACCCACACACAGAGATACGTACATACAGCCTTATAGACACACCCGCAGATAGATAGATAGATAGATAGATAGATAGATAGATAGATAGATAGATAGATAGATAGATAGATAGATAGATAGATAGATAGATAGATAGATAGATAGATAGATAGATATAGATAGATAGATAGATAGATAGATAGATAGATAGATAGATAGATAGATAGATAGATAGATAGATAGATAGATAGATAGATAGATTAGATAGATAGATAGATAGATAGATAGATAGATAGATAGATAGATAGATAGATAGATAGATAGATAGATAGATAGATAGATAGATAGATAGATAGATAGATAGATAGATAGATAGATAGATATAGATAGATAGATAGATAGATAGATAGATAGATAGATAGATAGATAGATAGATAGATAGATAGATAGATAGATAGATAGATAGATAGATAGATAGATAGATAGATAGATAGATAGATAGATAGATAGATAGATAGATAGATAGATAGATAGATTAGATAGATAGATAGATTAGATAGATTAGATAGATTAGATAGATAGATAGATAGATAGATAGATAGATAGATAGATAGATAGATAGATAGATAGATAGATAGATAGATAGATAGATAGATAGATAGATAGATAGATAGATAGATAGATAGATAGATAGATAGATAGATAGATAGATAGATAGATAGATAGATAGATAGATAGATATAGATAGATAGATAGATAGATAGATAGATAGATAGATAGATAGATAGATAGATAGATAGATAGATAGATAGATAGATAGATAGATAGATAGATAGATAGATAGATAGATAGATAGATAGATAGATAGATAGATAGATAGATAGATAGATAGATAGATAGATAGATAGATAGATAGATAGATAGATAGATAGAGATAGATAGATAGATAGATAGATAGATAGATAGATAGATAGATAGATAGATAGATAGATAGATAGATAGATAGATAGATAGATAGATAGATAGATAGATAGATAGATAGATAGATAGATAGATAGATAGATAGATAAGATAGATAGATAGATAGATAGATTAGATAGATAGATTAGATAGATAGATAGATAGATAGATAGATAGATAGATAGATAGATAGATAGATAGATAGATAGATAGATAGATAGATAGATAGATAGATAGATAGATAGATAGATAGATAGATAGATAGATAGATAGATAGATAGATAGATAGATAGATAGATAGATAGATAGATAGATAGATAGATAGATAGATAGATAGATAGATAGATAGATAGATAGATAGATAGATAGATAGATAGATAGATAGATAGATAGATAGATAGATAGATAGATAGATAGATAGATAGATAGATAGATAGATAGATAGATAGATAGATAGATAGATAGATAGATAGATAGATAGATAGATAGATAGATAGATAGATAGATAGATAGATAGATAGATAGATAGATAGATAGATAGATAGATAGATAGATAGATAGATAGATAGATAGATAGATAGATAGATAGATAGATTAGATAGATAGATAGATAGATAGATAGATAGATAGATAGATAGAATAGATAGATAGATAGATAGATAGATAGATAGATTAGATAGATTAGATAGATTAGATAGATTAGATAGATTAGATAGATTAGATAGATAGATAGATAGATAGATAGATAGATAGATAGATAGATAGATAGATAGATAGATAGATAGATAGATAGATAGATAGATAGATAGATAGATAGATAGATAGATAGATAGATAGATAGATAGATAGATAGATAGATAGATAGATAGATAGATAGATAGATAGATAGATAGATAGATAGATAGATAGATAGATAGATAGATAGATATAGATAGATAGATAGATAGATAGATAGATAGATAGATAGATAGATAGATAGATAGATAGATAGATAGATAGATAGATAGATAGATAGATAGATAGATAGATAGATAGATAGATAGATAGATAGATAGATAGATAGATAGATAGATAGATAGATAGATAGATAGATAGATAGATAGATAGATAGATAGATAGATAGATAGATAGATAGATAGATAGATAGATAGATAGATAGATAGATAGATAGATAGATAGATAGATAGATAGATAGATAGATAGATAGATAGATAGATAGATAGATAGATTAGATAGATAGATAGATAGATAGATAGATAGATAGATAGATAGATAGATAGATAGATAGATAGATAGATAGATAGATAGATAGATAGATAGATAGATAGATAGATAGATAGATAGATAGATAGATAGATAGATAGATAGATAGATAGATAGATAGATAGATAGATAGATAGATAGATAGATAGATAGATAGATAGATAGATAGATAGATAGATAGATAGATAGATAGATAGATAGATAGATAGATAGATAGATAGATAGATAGATAGATAGATAGATAGATAGATAGATAGATAGATAGATAGATAGATAGATAGATACGGCACACAGTTGTAGGCGATACCAGTACCTTTTTAAGGCATAATTCCTCAGTGCTACAGGAACAGGCACTATGTGGTACCTGCACCTTAAATTTTGTAATTTCATAAGTTCTTTGCAAAAGCGAATGGACGTCGAACGTCGTTTAGTGCAACAAAAATTGGTATATGCTGCCACATCACTTTTGAGAATAGAGGTGTAGGTAGTCACTGCATCCGTCCGTTTGTTTGAGAATCAGTTGTACACATATGTTGCAATTGTAACTGACTAACAGAGTATGTTGATGAGAAAGGTGGAGACAGGTATGCCCCATGCAGAATAGCAAGAATCGCTTCAAAGGTCCCTGGCAATTAGAGAAATGAACAACAGGCAGACTGACTTACTCGCTCTATACAATTTAGCAGTGAATTGATGTATGACAAGCTAAATGTTGTAAGAGCCCATTGGGGTGGTGAGGCGAGTGCGCAGGCACAAATGGATATGGTAATCTGATAATCTGGTAATCTGGTAAGTTTAATTTCAGCTTCTTAGCAAACGGGTCACCCCATCTTTACTCCGCTCCTGTGCCAACGAAAAACACACAGAATGTTTATCACAGTCCCTTGTAGAAAACTGACAAACTGCTATCTCAGCAAATCTAGCATAAACTCGCATTAAAAGCATATGGTAGCCATCCGAAGTGCTAACACCAACAGTCCGACTCTAGAAATGCAGTTCATCATTGATGGTAGCAGAAGTCATTAAAAGATAAGCAGTTGCACACGCGATCAATTTTAATCAGCTAATGGCCCCACCAATATGGCGACAACCGGCATCGCGCCATTTTCTGAATCTACAAATCACACCACCATGTTGGTCAGTCGAAAAACATTCCAAATGAAATCCGCAGCTCACAGTGTCACGCCATGCACTCAACTCAGAAGCTGGGCAACGAAACTATATACTTCCAGTCTACAAATGGAGCAAAAAAGCAACGGCCACAGTCTGGCAGAAGCAAAAATGTGTGCCTCGGCTTAAAACACTGGCAGTGCCTAGTGGATCATTGACAATGGGACTTGGCCGAGACTGAAATCTCAGAGGGAAGACAAGACGGTTATACAATCAGAGTGTTACTGGTATCATAAGAATTTTAACTCTGCGTTTGCTGCTGAAGATAGGGATGGAGCGCATTTGGGGGTGTCCCGAGTGTGTTGTCGATTCTTAATTAAACATTCAACATTTTTTGTCAATAAGAAGAGAGAAGGAGAACGTAAATATAGAAGCAGATTGCAAATGAATTAAATAGGCAACTCATTTTTAATTGGGAATGTGGATTGAGAAATTAACATCAGATGCTATAAAGCAAACCACGAACTATGACATGTAGCCCCCAACCTGCAGCATAAGATTATCTCGATCAGCACAAAGAAGCATCTCATAAAAAGTTCCTTCCTACCCTATGCTACCAGTGCCAGACACAGTCACTCACAACAAATCAGAAAAGAAAATTAGTAACCATGGAAATGAGAAGTCTAAAAGGGACTGATGGAGTGACCAGAAAAGATCAAATCAGAAATGATGTCATTTGAGAAAAAAATTACATCATTTCTGATTTGAACACACAAAGACAGTAAATCGAATGGTTTGCCCACTTAGAGAGAATACCGTGTGGCGCCATGCCATACAAAGCATCTTCATCGACTCCTGAAGCGGTAAAAGAGGAAGCAAAAAAGTAGTAGCAGTAGCAGCAGCAGCAGCAGTAGTACTAGTAGTGTTAGTAGTAGTAGTAGTAGTAGTAGCAGTAGCACCAGCAGCAGCAGTACTAGTAGTGTTAGTAGTAGAAGTAGTAGTAGTAGTAGTAGTAGTAGTAGTAGTAGTAGTAGTAGTAGTAGTAGTAGTAGTAGTAGTAGTAGTAGTAGTAGTAGTAGTAGAAAGAAGAAGAAGAAGAATATGATGATGATGATGAGGATTATGATGATGATGATGATGATGATGAAAACCTACACTTTTTTTTGGGAGACACTTTGTAGTGAATACCGGCAACTTTTTTTTTTTTTTTTAAACTAGTGTGTTTATGTGTATGCATTGACAGGTGAACGAATGGCCTATCACAAAATACTTGTATTCTAAAAATGGCGAAAGACTGCACCCGGGCCCGACGGGATTAGATACTCCCACATGAAAGACATGAGTGATTCAGACCTGTTGGAGATGACTGCTTGATTCAACCAGAGCATTAGGACAGCTTCAGTCCCAGAAGAATGGATGCACAGCTACCTGATTTGACTTCCTAAGCTTGGCAATAATCATTCAACACTCAGCTGATTTAAGATCGTAACCCTACAAAACACCTTTGGTAAGGTCTTGCAAAAGATAGTGGCTGGTAAGCTACATGAATTTTAGAAACAGAGAAAGCTCCTTCGAGGAGGTTTGGGAAGTTACCGGCCAAGGAAAAACACATGGTCAAATGCAGCCACTTTTGTCTTTTACATCTTTAAAGGTTTCCAGATCAGACAGGAACGATGGCAGCGGCACTTGATTTGGAAGATGCTTAAAAACAGAGTCAATATAGTATCTTGATGAAAGCGCTTTTGGAGAAGGGAGTCTGTCATTGGCTGGTGAACTGGATAGCAGCCGTTTTGTATTCTCTCCGCCTGGGTTCATGGACCTCTGAACCATGTATTATAGCTCCAGGACTACCACAGGAACCTGCAATTTTACCTGTGCTGTTCAATGTTTTTACGAGCAAGATTGCGAACCTGGAAACACCTGGAGTTGTCAGAATACTGACATTTGCAGATGATGTTCTCTTAATTAGGAAGTGGAGAGATCGGGATCAAACAGCCCAAGAGTTACAGGCGACAGTAGATAAGGTGACTGACTGGTGTACAGAGATGAGTGCTGTAATCAACACAGGAAAGGCAACCGTCCTGTAGTGTTCTTCGGACAACATGATTGTTAAAGCAGATGTTCCCAGACTCAAAATAAATGGCAGGGACATCAAAAGAGACAACAGACTGCGGTACCTTTGACAGAAGTTTGTCTTTCAAGGATCACATAGATAGATAGATAGACAACAGCTCAAAACAGATTATGGCAGCGATGGACATAAGAGCAGAGACTGCTGTTCACACTTTTCCAGCACTTAATCATCTCTGATTATGGATTGGGGTTACTCATTGTCTTGAAGAGTAACCCAGTAAAACTGGAGCGCATACAGAATGAAGCTATGCGGGTGATCCTGCGATGTTGAAGAGACACCCCGATTGTGTGCGTGCGATACCACCTTGCATTGCCGACCATTGCAGATAGCCTAAAAGTGCTGCAGGCTTAGTCATACCTCAGAGTAGCTGCAGACAAAGAACACCCTCTGTAAGAAGCTTTGGCTGCAGGTAAGGGTCAGGGGCTCAATAGGAGGAAATAGTGGATGGCTCAAGCAGAAGAAATAAGACAAAGATGCATGCCGTAGAACATTAGGCGAGGAGAGGAATCGGTCAGAGTACCAAAGGGAAAGTCTAACCTGTGTAGGGTTATGATCACATTGGGCCGGGAGTGCAGAAAGTGGCCAGCGGGTGCTACGGAGCTGGGAGTCCAACAGTTGATTTACGACAATTTAGGCCCAGGTAATCTGATCATCTATACAGATGGTAGGGTGAAAAGAAGAAAGAGAAGTGCCTGAGGGTTCGTAACAAAAGCCAGTGGAAAATCTCTAGTGCAAGACAGCTTGGCATACGACACCACAACATCTAGCATGAGTATGCAGGTGGAGGCAGTAACTGCAGCTCTCCGGTGGCTAGAGAACAAGATGCATACACATGTTGTAATTGTAACAGATTCTGAAAGCATACTTAGAAAGGTGAAGACAGGGATGCTTTGAGCAGAGTGGCAAACTTCACTGGGAAGGTCACTGATAGTGAGCATACTTTGGATCTTTTCTCCAGGCCATGGCTGACTGACTGACTGACTTTCTACCCCACCAGGACATCACACAAGCGATAAACACCCGATGACACATAGTGCCACCATGTGGATGAGGATCGCCGTGGAGAGGTCCTAGAAACCGCGTTCAGACAATTGGCCATATTTATAGCCTGTCTATATTGCCCCTGGAAAAAGCCAGGGTGGGGCTTCGAAAAACAAAAAAAATTCGTCCTAAAAAGGACGAAACTGATATATGGCGGCGTGGTGGGTAATAAACAGGCAGACAGATTTGCTAGATCTGTACCACTGGGTGGTGAATAGATACACGACAAGGCCCTTTGGGAACAAGCAGCGGAATCAGTAGAGAAAGCATATTATTATGGCCTGGAGAGAATGAGGCACCTGAGTGTAACCAGAGGGTCTAGCCGACTCATTACACTCAGAGGAAAGGCAAGACGGACATATAACCAGATTGTAACCGGTACCGTCAGTATTGGAACTCTGCGTTGGCTGCTGAAGATGAGGACGGAGCACACTTGGGAATGTCCTGAGTGCAGTGATATCAATTCTTGACTTAGTTCAACTCAACTCAGCTTGTATGGATACATATAGACTGGAAAATAAATTAATTACGATGCATTTAAAGGCGAAATATATGAAGTACGTGTTGGACAGAAATTGTGCAGTATCCAAGGATATCTTAAAAATGGCGAAAGCTACTGTTTGTTTTTTTTTCATTACTAATTGCGTAAAGGAAAAAAAAAACTGTATTGTGACTGGGAGCGACTTATCAATGGCGTGACTGAAACATTTGCTACTTAAGTATTGTACTGTGAATTATCATGACTGACAACTGGTAATATGCATGTTTTTTGTTGTTTTTTTGTTGCGATTGGGGGGGGGGGGGGTGGGGGCTGAGGTTAAAAAAAAAAGGGGGGGGGGGGGCAAAGACAGATTTATCGAGATCCAAATTAATCGGCGCGGGCTTCTACTCTAAATCCTCTGTTTCTTGGTGTTCTTTGTAATGTCTACTACTCTTTGTCTTCCGCAGCACTGTGTAAACATGTAGTTTGTTTCACGGTTGCATCGTTTTGATTCACTAGTGCAAATTTTACGGAGATCCCTCGGCCGGGGCTACGGTGATCGTGCTTTTTGTGAAGCTCTCGACAGGTAGCCATATGAGATAAAACACTGTGACTGAAGTCGATCTTCTGGACTTTCATCTTTAACTTTATATCATTTGTTTATATTTAAAAACGGAAATAAAATATCAAACATCGAACCATTCATCCCATACGTGCTAGGATTCCCTCCTCGGTATAAATCCAACAGTGTGTAGCGGCTGACGAAGCCAGTGCTGTGTTGGTTTATAGTTACTTCTTCTTTATTTGAATGAGATTCAACTCCACCAGGATATCCACTAAGCGATAAACACCCGGTGACAAAATGTGCCACTATGCGGATGAGGATCACCCGGGGAGATGTCCGGGAAACCCCGTTCAACAGTCGGGTTATCTTAGGACCCCCGACTACAGCCGGGGTGTAGCTTTAAAATAACTAAAAATTGCGTCCCGTATGTTGGTGCGACAGGTAGGTTTACTATTGTTCTTTAGTTTCCCGCGTAGCGCTTTTATCTGACAACACTCGTGTTTAACTTGAAGTTCTTGCAACCTAAGCCGTAAAGCCCATAAGACCATCAGTGTAAATGACAGCATGACTGTCTAGAGAAATCTCGAAAATCAAAACCTAACTTCTGCTCCACAATGCCAGGAATTTTTGTCTGTAATTTCTATCTAGTCGGACACATACTGAAAAGGAAGTTCCTGTCCCTCTTTCCTGTAACCATTCCCTCTGCTACTGTTCTTTCCCTTCCACAGTGGCACTTGATGTGGCCAAATTTTTCAGTTTCCGAGACTAGATGTTGTTTACTAACCAATCCTCCATGTTGTTTAGATACTTTAGGATGTCAATGTTGCATTTCTTCTTGGTATGTGGACGTCGCTTAATGCAACAAAGCCTTGCATATGATATCACAACGTCTAGTTTGAGAATGGAGGTGGAGGCAGTCATTGCTGCCTTCCGCTGGCTTGAGAATCAGCTGTAAACACATGCTGTGATTTAAATGACTCATAGAGCATGTTGAGAAAGGTGGTGACAGACATTCTCCGTGAACAGTGGAAAGCATCACTTCAGAGGTCACGGGTAGTTAGCGTCCTTTGGATATTTTCTCCAGGTTATTCTGGTGTGTTGGGAAATGAGCAGGTCGATATATTGGCCGGCTCTGCGCCACTTGGTGTTGAATTTATATATGACGGGCTAGATATTGTGAGGGCCCTTTGTGAGCGTGTGAACAGTGCTGAGGTACAGGGAGATTATTACGGTCTAAGGAGAAAGGCGCAGCGAAAAATCAGCAGGGGATCTGTCAGGCGCTAAACACTTACGGGTAGGGCGAGACAGATAAACAGACACTTACTGGTATCATCGGAATTGGAACGCTTCGCTTGCTGCTGAAGACGGGAACGGGACGCTTATGGGAGTGTCCCGAGTGCTATGATGTTGATTCTCATTCAACATTCCCTCCCTAAAGCATTTTGGTATGTGCTGAGAGGAAAGTAAATATAATGATATATTTGAAATAATATGAAATGTGTAAATAAATGCTTAAAAACAAACAAAACAAGAACTTTATTCTAGGTAGAGTTGGAGTGGGGGGGGGGGGGGGGGGCGGCTCAAGTAGCCTAAGATCATAGGTTTTGGCGACCTTAGCCCATACACACAACTATAAAACATACAAATATTTTTTTTTTGTTTTTTTTTTGGTTACTTTATTCCAGGAAGCAAGCACGTAAGAGTAAAGCGCAAAACTTGAATTTGACCAGTGCCTACAGTTTTCAAATCAAACGCCCAGATTCTCTTGTAACTATAGTATCTGATGATGCATCTCGTGGTATCAGTTTTGACGAGATCAGCGAGGATTTATTGAGGGTAATATACTTAATGGAGAACGAGAAATCCCCAGCCACTATTAAGAGCATTAAAACTATATTGAAAAAAATCCCAGCGACATATGCTCATTTTATACCAACCTGGACGGACAAAAATGATATGGATCTGCTTCACCATGTAATTATAAATAACTGCCCTGAGATTGTTCATTTTTTGCTGGCTGAATGCAACTGGTTCCCAGTAACCTACATGCCTGAAGCCAATCCATACGCGCATCTTGCTGCCATATTTGGGCACAAAGAATGTCTGCGTCAACTTCTGAACTACAGACCCAACGATTATTTTACTGCATCTAAACATATTCTGAAACTGCCATCCACTATTCGTAAAAAAACTAAATTTAATGAAACGACGAACAAAGGTGTGAAAAAGCAAATAAACAAACTCCTGGGGAAAATACAGTCCAGTGAAAACATTGTTGAGATGACCCTTTTACAGGATCAAACAGAGCTCGGCAATATAACCGACGTAAGCAATACACTAGCAGATGAATTCAAAGCACTAGAAGGTGACCGGAAACTTCATTCTCGTGGTATCAGACGATTAAAAAACGCACAGTATAGTCGCAAACTGAGCACAGCAGGTAGTAGAAGTCGAAAACATGAAAAGGTCACATTTGCTACTTCAGTCAGCGACAAAAGACACACCGCTAAGGACTTTAGCGACATTGCAAAGTTCCAGATCAGTGATCGGGGTAAAGATGACAAAGATGCAAAATATCAAAAACTGCCTTTGGGTACAGCAAACAAGAAACACATTATCTCTGTTTACTGTGATGAATTTTCTGAAGCCCCACAGGGTGTTGTTAAAGGGGCGGGACAACAGGTACTTATCAAATATTATGGAGGAATGACGAAATTGAAACATGAAAGTGCTCAGCCGCCTGGGACACTGGACATAAAGAGAAATACCAGCATAATGCCTTCTATATCAACTCAAAGAAACACATCCAAACTGGTAACGGAAGAAAAAACATCAGCAACAGTGGAACAACGCAATGCCAGGGTAGATTCAGCGTTTCCGAAAATCGTGGAAGCTGGCGTGAGGGGTAAGGGCAAATACAAAGACTTCCAGTTGAAAATTGAGTCTCGCAAAATATATCCAAAAGATCAATCCAAAAGTCTGCGTAATAAAACGCCTCTTTCCCTGGCCGCTGAGTATGGCCATTTAGAATGTGTGCAGATGATCTTGGAAACCCACATCCTACGGAATCATCCCACAATCGCAGTAAAAGAACCGTTGACACTGGCAACTAAAGCGAAAAGTCCTGATGCTATACTATTTCTAATGAATCAGAGAATCTCTATCCCGGATTACCAAAGCGCCGTACTGACAGCGATCCGTGACATGTACCCGGATTGCCTAACGGCATTGCTGGCCCAAAAATCGAAAGAAAGACATTCGCTGTTTGATGGCGTCAATTTATATCACATTCTCTATACCCAGACTTTGATGTCTGATTACCGTTTTGAGATGCTACCTGTAATGACAAACGTGCTTATTAGTAGCGGTGAAGATGTCAATGCTCACAATGTCTACTGTACCTTCCCCATCTACACACTGATCAACTGTGCCTTCAATATTTCTATTGGAAAGCAAATTTTCTTTTATATAAACTGCTTGAAAATGTTGTTAGAGAACAAAGCGAACTGTCATTACGATGAAGTTAAAGATCAAAAGTTATCTTCTCAAGGTCAGTCGTTTTCAAGAAGTTCATACTCTTCTGCAATAAACTGCATTTTAGAAAATGCAGTAAATTCCACGAATTATTTTGAAAACACACGAAGCTCTAAAATATTTATGAAAAAACTCATTTCTACAGTGACAGCTTGTGACAGAACAAACAGACGCATTCTCAATGACATTCTCTTTAACTACATGGATACAGTATGTTTACTGGGTATTGACCGCTACATCGTGAAATGCTTGCTTCGTTACGGCTCCAATCCTGACTTTTGCCTAGCTAAAAAGTACGCAATAAACGCCTACTTCGACAATATTCTTCCGTATCTGTCCAGGTTTGAAGTGAATCCTAACAGTGCAGATGATCAGGACATCAACGCCCTGTTGCTGCTGTGTCGTGGCATGAGCTACCGATGCCTGAAAGAGGCACAGTTAATATTTCTCAACGAGAATCTCATGCAGTGCCCAATTCAGGCCTTGCCGCTCTTTCGTTATTTCTCCTACGGACTGAACGAGTTGCTGAGGTCGCCGCGTCCTTTATTAGAAATTTTGGGACATTTCATGTGGCTAAGATTTCGCAGAAATGAGAAGAAAGTGAAGGCCCTGCCGTTACCAGATGAGATCATTGCTTTTATTTTGCCTTAGCACTTTGCAACTGATACCGTGATTAGGCGTGATTTTAAATTTAGCTTATGTGACTGTGTATAATGTGGTCAAGGCGTGTACCTTGTGCTCAGAAAGTCGTGGTTCATTTCACGGCTCAGTTCGCAATTGCAATTTTTAGGGGGTTGTCTGGGGATCGTCGCCGGAGTCACGGAGCTCCTGCGCTGTGCGACGCTCTCAGCAGGCGGCTAGCCGGTCCGCGGAGAGAGACCGAGCCAGTGGGATAAAAGCTGGTGTAATTAGGTCGATAGTTTTGACTTCAACCTTTAACTGTATGTAATACATATGCACTGTCTAAAAGTTAGAGACGCCACTGATAGCAGCACAGTGTTGTGCGTTAAACTGTTGATGTCTCGAGACTACATCTTCTATTGACGATGACTTACAATTATAGTAACGACTGCTGGTGTTGGCACCTCTGACGGTTGGTTCATGGAGTTACTGCGTATGCGAGCGCCTTGATTTTGTCAGGGCATATAAGATTAATTAATTTCCAAACGCGATAGTGATATACATTTTGTGGGGGTTTCAGTTGCATAGCAACGGAGCAGTTATGAGGTGCCCGGTGTACCGTGAATTTGAAGAACGCGAATAACCACTGGTTCTTTGAGTATGAATGATTGTTTGTTTATTGGTTTATTCAACGGATCAACATCACGGCACACGGTTGCAACCCATAAGTGATTCGTTATACTATTAACTCAAGCCTGAGTATGAAGAAGTTAGGCGCAGTGCACAACCTCGGTTGCACCAGCGAGGATCCCTAAATACTTTGGGTACATTTTTAACTCCTTATTTTGCCCAGGCAGCGCCGTTAGGCTACTCTTTTCAATTTCTGACTGCCAAGGTAGTTTTTTTAAACGTGCGCAACAATACACACGGGCATCCTATCTGACTACTCAGAGACCAGGGGAAATTACTAGAACTAAAAAAAAAAAAATCCCAGCCTTCACCTTGGCTTGAACACGGGACCTCCAGCACTCGAGGCGGACGCCATATCTCCAGACCACTCACCCCCTAGGTATGTATGAACAGATTAGCAATTGTGCAGGTCTGCACACAAGACATAGAAATGCTGGTTGTACTTGTGGCAACCAGCTTAAAAGTCTGTTGTGTCCGACAAGGGTGCATCGACGAAAAACACATCTGACAAATGCTGGTCTAAAAAGACAAAAAGGTGCCAACGTGTGTGTGTGTGTGTGTGTGTGTGTGTGTGCGCGCGTGCGTGCGTCCGTGCGCGCTTGTGTGTGTGTGTCTGTTTAATGATGAAACTTGTCTTTGCATGCTTCGTTGCGATCTTATATGACAGCATTGCGTTCAGAAGTAGTTTTACATCTATCTATCTGAAAACTTCATATTGTATAGTCTCCCACCCCCCCCCCCCCCACCCCACCCCAAAGTCTTAAATTGTACCGTGGAAAGTCCTTGTTGTTTGTCCACCTGGGATTTGGCTTCGTGCCAGGACCGGAGTTTTGCGTTTACATACCTTTTACTGGCTTATTTTTGTGCAGTTGGTTGTTTCTTGCCGCTCGGGCAGATACACTCCAACTTCGAAGAAAGCCACCAATTAGTCGACTCCTACGATATGCTTGTTTGGGAGGCAGTATGTCTGTTCATACTTTTCCCCACAATGAGGCCCCGAAACCCACTTTAATCTTACATTGTGATAAAGACAGGTATAAGAATGCCGACGAAAATCTCAACCTGGGTAGGATACCAACAGGACCAATCCCAATCACCTGGTTCAAGCTCCGGATAAGTAATAATTGGTGCTACCCCTAGTGCTACCGGTCGTACTCTGTAGTTATGTGTGAGTACGGATGTATATAGATGCAAGGATGAAAAAGCGTTCGCTTGAAGTAAAAACAAATGTTAAATCTTTAATACATATTTTTTAATACATGTAATATAATTGGTGAGTTTTGTTAGACTTTGCGCTTACCGAAACTAATTAAAAGACATGAAACTGGCAATTCAAAGAACTGACAATAAAGATAGCCACAAATATTTGATACTATTACTATCTGTTCACACTTTCTTCGCTTCATGCTGCAATCTGAAAGTTTTACGGTTATTACCATTATTTTTATGACCACTCTTTATCGTTAGCTTTCTCTCTCCACCCTGCCACCCAACTTCACACTCCGCCCATCTTCTCCTCTTTCTCTTTCTCTTCTTCTTCTTCTTCTTCTTCTTCTTCTTCTTCTTCTTCTTCTTCTTCTTCTTCTTCTTCTTCTTCTTCTTCTTCTTCTTCTTCTTCTTCTTCTTCTTCTTCTTCTTCTTCTTCTTCTTCTTCTTCTTCTTCTTCTTCTTCTTCTTCCTTCTTCTTCTTCTTCTTCTTCTTCTTCTTCTTCTTCTTCTTCTTCTTCTTCTTCTTCTTCTTCTTCTTCTTCTTCCCCTCCTCCTCCTTATATTCCTGCTCCTCGTCCTGCTCCTCCTGCTTCTGCTTCTTCTTATCTTCTTTTTAGCGTTCACCTGACTAAAAGTTCTGGTTGTTCGTCCACTTCTTGCTTTCAATCATCTTCCAGAACTTGCGTTTTGTGTGTACAGCCGTTTTACAGATCTTATTTAAATGCAGACTGTTGTTTCCTTGTATTTCGGGCAGATGCACTGCGACTTTGAAGGAAACATCTCTAATTAGTTTACTTTTACCGCAACATGCTTGAAGGGGGAGGGGACGGCAACAAAAGCTGACCCACTTTCGCTTGTTGCCGACGATGATGACAGAGAGCGCATGGACATGCCTACATTGTTGTGATGTCGGCTGTTGACTTAGTTGAAGTGTTGTGATGTCGGCTGTTGACTTAGTTGAAGTGTTGTGATGTCGGCTGTTGACTTAGTTGAAGTGTTGTGATGTCGGCTGTTGACTTAGTTGAAGTGTTGAGATGTCGGCTGTTGACTTAGTTGAAGTGTTGTGATGTCAGCTGTTGACTTAATTGAAGTGTTTTGTTGTCGGCTGGTGACTAAGTTGAAGTGTTGTGATGTCGGCTGTTGACTTAATTGAAGTGTTGTTCTGTCGGCTGTTGACTTAGTTGAAGTGATGTGCTGTCGGCTGTTAACTTAGTTGAAGTGTTGTGATGTCGGCTGTTGACTTAGTTGAAGTGTTGTGATGTCAGCTGTTGACTTAGTTGAAGTGTTGTGATGTCGGCTGTTGACTTAGTTGAAGTGTTGTGATGTCAGCTGTTGACTTAATTGAAGTGTTTTGATGTCGGCTGTTGACTTAATTGAAGTGTTGTTCTGTCGGCTGTTGACTTAGTTGCAGTGTTGTGATGTCGGCTGTTGACTTAGTTGAAGTGTTGTGATGTCAGCTGTTGACTTAATTAAAGTGTTTTGATGTCGGCTGTTGACTTAGTTAAAGTGTTGTGATGTCGGCTGTTGACTTAGTTGAAGTGTTTTGATGTCGGCGGTTGACTTAGTTGAAGTGTTTTGATGTCGGCTGTTGACTTAGTTGAAGTGTTGAGATGTCGGCTGTTGACTTAGTTGAAGTGTTGTGATGTCGGCTGTTGACTTAGTTAAAGTGTTTTGATGTCGGCTGTTGACTTAGTTAAAGTGTTGTGATGTCGGCTGTTCACTTAGTTGAAGTGTTGTTATGTCGGCGGTAGACTTAGTTGAAGTGTTTTGATTTTGGCTGTTGACTTAGTTGAAGTGTTGAGATGTCGGCTGTTGACTTAGTTGAAGTGTTGTGATGTCGGCTGTTGACTTAGTTAAAGTGTTTTGATGTCGGCTGTTGACTTAGTTAAAGTGTTGTGATGTCGGCTGTTGATTTAGTTGAAGTGTTGTGATGTCGGCGGTTGACTTAGTTGAAGTGTTTTGATGTCGGCTGTTGACTTAGTTGAAGTGTTTTGATGTCGGCTGTTGACTTAGTTGAAGTGTTTTGATGTCGGCTGTTGACTTAGTTGAAGTGTTTTGATGTCGGCTGTTGACTTAGTTGAAGTGTTGAGATGTCGGCTGTTGACTTAGTTAAAGTGTTGTGATGTCGGCTGTTGACTTAGTTGAAGTGTTTTGATGTCGGCTGTTGACTTAGTTGAAGTGTTTTGATGTCGGCTGTTGACTTAGTTGAAGTGTTGTGATGTCGGCTGTTGACTTAGTTGAAGTGTTGTGATGTCGGCTGTTGACTTAGTTAAAGTGTTGTGATGTCGGCTGTTGACTTAGTTGAAGTGTTGTGATGTCGGCTGTTGACTTAGTTGAAGTCTTGTGATGTCAGCTGTTGACTTAGTCGAAGTGTTGTGATGTAAGCTGTTGACTTGGTTGAAGTGTTGTGATGTCGGCTGTTGACTTAGTTGAAGTGTTTTGATGTCAGCTGTTGACTTAGTTGAAGTGTTATGAAAAAATATGCGCAGATGTCTATCATTTTGTCCAGAGCCACTGTAATTTGAATAATTTTATTTGCGGTAGCCAGGAAGTTTTCCAGAGAATAACGAAGATGACATGAAGACAAATAGTCTATAACACTCACACCCTCCCCCGCCCCACCCCTCACCCGCCACAGAGAAAACAAAGCTGTATTTACCCACCGCAAAGTGTCTGGGAAAAAAAAAAGAGGAGCAAGTACTCATTGCAAAATTGTGATAGGGAAAGTCAAAAAGTAAGTCACAAATGGTTATAGGATGACAGGAAAATAGTTTTTGGTTTCTGAAGGTGTCAATAGGTGACAACAATATCGAACTTACTATGCGCTAGTTCGTTAGGTACTATGTGTTGCACGCGCATTTGCAACGCAGAAGCGAAATGACGACTGTTTTTTTAGGGGGGGGGGGGGGGGGGGGAGAATAAACTAAGTGGCTGCATGCAAAAGACATTTAGAAAAAAGTGCTTCCTGTGACAAATGTTTATTACCTAGAAAAGTGCATAAGCTGGGTAAACATATTTTCTCAGTGACGCTCTTATATTGTTCATGAAGTCTGATCTGGTCGTTCTGTTGAGATTGCAAAGGACGCATCCGTGCAACGGGTGGAGATGTTTAGAGGTGACAGGCGAGTAAT